TTTATTTATACACATTTGCCCTAAAACAGGTGATTATTGATCAATTAAAATTAACTCCCTGACAGTTAAGTTTAGAAAATGTCCTCTGATGTGGATGTGAGTTTGCAAAACATGCTGATCAGATGAAGGTGTTTAAAGGATCTGGTTTCCAAGGACCTGGCACATTTAGAGCTGGAATCAGAGGGTATCAAGTGGTGGCACATCAGCAGAGAGATGGTATCATCAGGAGGATCTGACAGTCTGTCAGTAGGAGGAATGTCCTCATAACCTCAGCGTGCTTTATGAGACACAGCAGACAGCAATACAGTACCGGGACTACACTGCAAAAAGGGACAATAAGTACATTTTTCTGGACACAAATGTGACATGTGTATTGGTTTAGACATACTAATTTCCGATGGCATACCATCTTATTTATCTGGTCAATTTAAGTACAAATTTTAATACATTTTACTAATTCTTAGATCAGTATCGGAGACTATGAAATATGAAGGGCTACAGGTTACGTACAGCAGGCCTCACTGGGCTTGCTTCATCAGGAAGGGTCCCGATTAACAGTTAAAAGAAACTTTTTTATAGATCTGCAGGGTCACACCCTAACACATCACGCATCATTACATCATGCACATGATGCTTGTAAATGAGGAGACAACACTGGCTCTATCGAGTTGATACACTAGTTCTAGGTCAATGCACCCTTGTTAAGAATCATAATCTCTTTCTGTTTATTTCCATTTAATTTCCAAATGTATGTCACCAACATAATGAAGATGATCTGACCCATCCCCAAGGGGATGCAGAGTTGAATTTCTTCAGTGTGAGATTAATAACATAAAATTACTATTATTATTAAAAGAGTGAATTAACTGAATAAACTGTTTGGGACAACATTAGCTTTAATGCCTAGCTGGTTGGAAATATCAGGGTTTAACAAGCACTTAGATGAACGAGAAAGAAATATCGCTAACAACTCCCCTTGATGAGGTAAAATTTTACAGGTAGCTTTTAGGTTTATTCTTTATACATCATGTGCGTTGTTACTTTGTTAGCCAGATTAGAGAGAGTAGATGGCCTTCCTTCACATTGTGAATATCACTGTGTATAGGTAGGTCAACTAAATAGGACAGCTTTCTTGTCTTTTAAAGATGCACAGGATATGGGCACATCTTGGAGCCGGTCTGATAAAGGGAAGCTATCTGTAATTCTTGGGAATAGAGGCAAGGTGCATACAGGTCAGGGCATGGATGGCGTGTCAGTTTCTGATATGGACAGCTAAACATCCACATGATCCAACACATAGACTCATGAGCTATAAGAAGGAGAAGAAGACCTTGCTCGGGGCTCAATCTTTGCCGGACGCTTGCGGACGTGATTTTTTGAGCCCACAGCTGTGCAAGCTCCAAGCATTTTCTCTGTCCTGTAACGACCTGATCTGGAATAAACTCTGTTACATTTTTACTGCTGTTTTTATAGTCCTTTTTTATATGTTTTTACCCAGTTTGAGTTAAGAGTAGTAAGTAACTTGCTCCCAGGAAAAGAACCATGAGGAAGCCCCGTGGCGCAACGGCCTTTTTTAGTGGACATAACCTCCTCATTTAACATAGCTTGAAATACTAGACCAAAAACATCCTCAGTCACAAGGCTGCCTCAAATAATGTCCATGATTGGGTCACCCTCGTCCAAAAAAAACATTGATGTATGTTCACATTCAGGATATCAAAATGGAAGGAAATAAATGTTATATAACCTCATTGAATCATAGAATCAATAATTAACTTCCTGATAAGGTTCTCATCCTTCCACATAGACTTATAGTGAGTTTTACCTGCATGTGAGGAGCCCAGACGTTGAATTAGCCTAAAATTAAAACCAGTAGATCCCTGAGAGGTCTCACAGGGGCTGGGAATTTTCTGGTTGAACCACATGTAGAACACCAAGGAAGGATTGTAATCAGCCTGACTCCTAATAATAATTGAACTTTATTGATCTCACATTGGTAAAATTTACCTCTGCATTTAACGCGTCTCCTTGGGGAGCGGTGGGCTGCCATCGTGGGGCGCCCGGGGAGCAGTGTGGGGTTAAGGGTTTTGCTCAGAGACCCAGAGTGGCAGTCTGTGGGAGTGGGGCTCAAACTCAGAACCTCAGGATTCCAAGCTCTTTGCCCTAACCACTCGGCCGCCACTCGCCACTCTTGTTTCAGTGTTCTAGCCGAGGCTGCCATTGATACCAACGTGATGAATCTGTGTTTGGAGTTGTGACTCTGAAAACAGTGGGCCCTTCCTAACCGTAGTGTGAAAGGACACAGCAGTGTTACTTCTTACTCAGGATGTTGAGAGCCACAGGGTGCGTGTTTTACCCCCTCAGACAGCATGCTGGTGCAGTCTTTCATCCAAACAATGCATTTCCACATGAGACCTGTGGCCTAAGGCTCTTTGGGGCATGCCCTGCTCATAGCCAGCTAGATCTGAGCATGTGTGGGTTAAAATTTGGACTCAGCTCCAAGACATCGCTGATCTACTAGATGTTTAGGTCAATTACAAAAGCTGTAGGCTGGGAGGACATGGGCAGTCAACCGCAAAGTTTCATAAATCACTGGTTGTATGAACGTACATGGGTGTGACACACCCTGCTGTCCGTACTCTAACTCCCTGTTATATGGGAATGAATGTGCTATTACCTCGTCTGGGTGACAGTTACTGTAGGATAATACTTGTTGATGACCTCAGATGACTTGTGTGATCCCTCAAATCATAGAACAGTAGTTAGTCAAATGCCAAAGGCCTTTTCCACTTTCTTATTTCCACAAAAGAAATGTCAGAATAATTTTCCTCATGCTCATTTCACATACTGGTTTGCTTTGCAATTTGCTTTTAATTCAGTTGCAAAAAGGAAAATTAAATATTGCTTTAACTCAAGGGATTTTTAAAATTTTTTTTAGACTTTTAGACAGATTTTATTTGTCATTTTTTTGTTTACACAAGTGTAAAACAAAAAGAAATTTCGTTTGGAAACAGCTCACTGGACAATTTCATATTTTTAAAAGTGCAGCCCTGAAAAATAGTAAAAATGAATGTAAATTACATTTTTTTTTTAAATGGCTTTATTAGATTTGTCCAAGCCTCCTATTTTATCATTGTTATCTGACCCCACAGAGGCGCCGTCCTTTGCAGAACCTGGAGATGCCATCATGGAGAAAGTAGTGAACAGCAAAGTCGTCATCCCTTGTCCAGCAAAAGGTATGAAATAATTCATTGGCATGTCGGCCTGAAAAGACTGAGGCTTTATTTGATCACCATTAATGGATTTTTTTTTTTGCGGTTCCCTTCACAACATAAAGAGAAGAATCATGTTTGTCACTTTATTATCACAAACTTTTTTGATTTTATGTAAAAAACATATGTCTTGCTACAGATTTCCCTTTGGGTTTAGTTTTGGCTAAACACAGGCATACACTGTGCGATATTTTCAATCATTACACAAAGCTACAGCTAATACTGTACAAAGAAACGGCAGGGTATAAAAGTCCACAGCTCACAGTGTATGTTCTCACGCTGTGCGGCCCAATGCTCTGATGCAACCCTACGATGGCCGACTGAATTTTTAGAACATGTTTGATTTTCTCCCGACCTTATGTTTCCTGATCAGGAGGTGGTCATGAGAGACTTATCGCCCCTCGTTACCCCCTATACACTACACGATGCACGATCAGGCAGAAAGTCGGCCCGATTGAAAAATTCTCGCACAACTGGAGAATCAGCCCAAAAAAGGGCAGATAATCGTACAGTGTATGCCTGCCCGGCTTAAGAGGTTGGCTTCCAGGGTTCTACTTAGGTGTCAGCCTGCTCATCAAAGGATGTTTTAGTCATAAAGGATCAAATAAAATGGCTATCTTTAAATATATTTTTCAATAAAAACTTTCAGGCAAATCCCCCGTTCCACCTTAGTTATGGAATCTGCTGTTGTTTAATAAATCAGTTTCACAACAAGATCAAAAAGGCTTATTGGTAATTTCTGAAATCGTAAGACTGGGTTCGATGGATCATTTTTTGTAGTTTAGCCTTTTTTGAGTTGTTCAGTCTCCACAATGTTTTTTGGTCACTTTTTTTTTAAAGAAAACACTAAAAAGAAAGAAGTTCCATCAGGTTTTAATATTTCTGCAAACTGAAGCTGGAACTATATTTATGCCTCTTCAGTAACTCGTTCTGCTTTCACAGTCGATTTGCATGATGGCAGCATCCTCCTATGCTGTCCTCGTATTCAGAAATCGGTGTGCTTAACAAGTTAGCCTGTTCAGGAACTTCATGTCTTATCAAAGCTCACAGATGTAGCCTCCTGTCCAGGGAATCACTAAGTGATACTTACTAGACAGTTCCTGCAAACAAGCATTGTTTGTGTGGCGCTCTGTCATGGTAACCAGCTCCATGCGAGAAGGTGAGGAGTGTGTCTAATATGGAGCAACAGCTGGAACATCAGTCTGCCGGCAGCCTCAGTGAGCCACATCTGCTTTCCTGTGTGTCGCTGCCTGCTGGAAGAGGAATCCTAATTACAGGCTGCTGCTGGCAGATAAAGGACAGAGATGTCTGAGTTGCACCGTGAAGCAGAGGAAGAAGGAGATAAAGCCAAAATAGCCCTTCTTACATCTTCGCTATACAGGAAGGCAGATACCAGTGGTGCTTTATGGGGCCCCCACCGAAATAGTTGATGTTCCACAGAGTCAGTCAGCAGCAGGAAAAGCACTTCCCTCCATTATTCTCCTGAGATGACTCTGTTTAAGCACGTCTGATAAGGATAATCTAGCAGAAGGACATTATTAAATGTTTTGCAGAAGATGGAGGTAAATATTTAAGAACACCGCTGGAGATCTCCTCTGCTAATGACTCGAAGAAAAGAAAATCCCTTTAATGAGATCTGTTCGCATCTAAAACAGAACATCTGTATGCATTTCCTCCCAGCAGTGACATAATGAATTTGCATTAAAGCTCTTTTAACTGTAACCATGTGTTAAGATAAGCAGCACATGATAACATTTCCTGCAGTGTCCTATGGTGAGCATTTTATAGATCGAGTGTTTTTTATCCCCCCCACCTCACGGCTGGTGTTTGTATGTAACACCTCTGGAAATAGACCAAGCAGTGTTTCCTCCAGGATCTCTGCTCTGTCAATCTGTTGCATAGAGCAGAAAATCCTTGTTTTTTCTCACATTCCAGCTTCCTCCAGTGGACCATTTTCACCTCTCTTTTAGTCTGTAATCCGCCAAACACATTTGTTTCAGGCTCCTCAGTTAAATTGTCACTTCCTTTGAACTGCTTGTTTCTGTCCTTACTCTTTAACGCTTTTATTTCATTGTTAGGTAATAAATCTGGAGGCCATAGTCTTGAATATTACACCTCAGCTCCCTCCAGTACACCTTCCTCTCTCATTTATGGGAGTCTGACCTTGGAAATAGCAGGCCTCTGGGCTGCAAGGACTTAAACTGTTTTGGCAGCGTCTTGCCTGCTGTCCTGCAGATAAATGGAGAGCTGGCATTTTCAAGTCTGGGCTGTGTGCCCGATTAGTTCTGTTTACAGCCGGAGAGACGGGAGTAACTTTTCTTGTTTTGGGGCATGGTCAATACAAAGCTCGTTTTGTGCTCAGTAAGAATCTAAATTGTTTTCCTCTCTACCACCTGCAGGTTCACCCCACCCCAGGGTGCGCTGGTTTAAGAATGGCCTGGAGCTACAGCCAGAACAATCTGAGTATTCTGTGGCAAGGGATGGAGCTCTTGTAATTAGTGCAGCATCTGCCAGCCACAGTGGAGACTTCAAGTGTGTTGCAACCAATGAGGCAGGCTCAGTAGAGAGAAAGACTAGGCTAAAAGTTAATGGTGAGGACGTATTTACAGCTATATACCTTATTTCTTTTCCACTTACAACAGATACGGTAATCTAAAGAATTCCTTGATGTGTTTTTAGTTCCTCCAGAGATCCAGGACGACGGCCAGCCACTGAATCTCACCGTCACCTTGAAGCAACCCCTCACTTTAGGCTGTGATGTTTTTGGCATCCCCTCCCCGCTAATAACCTGGACTAAAGATGGCCACGCTGTAAGTGTGTCACCTACATACTGCATCCTTTCCGTCTCCAGCCGTACAATGCCACCAAGTGGCTGATGTGTCCTTGACAGCAAAAATTGCAGAGGTTTACAGATGCGATCGCTTTGTGCAGGCGGACGTCCCCGGTGTGTATCTGCAGAACGGCAACAGATTGCTCAGAATCTATAGAGTTCAGCACGAGCATGCGGGTCAGTTTACCTGCACAGCTCAGAACTCGGCAGGAGAGGCAAGAAGACAATACAACATAGTGGTGCAAGGTGAGGGCTCTGACCTTCAATGTTTGATTTATTGGACAACAAAATAAAAAACATTTCATTGTATAATACTAATCTTCACTTTAAAGTATTTGTAAAAAAAAAAAAAATTGAAAATAATTTATTAATATTCACCCTCATAAGCAATACCCTAAGCGAATTAGTCTGGTTGTGATGAGTCTGCAAAATATAAGGCCTTCAGTTTTAATTTAAACACATCTAGTTTTAGGTGATGGTCTGATTCACTGAGATTATAATCTTATTTCAGCTCCTCCAGAGATTTCCGGAACATCCCGACTGCAGGAGTTTACTGTGGTCCAGGGTCAGGAGGTGGAGTTCCAGTGTCGAGTAAGCGGGCGACCGGCACCGAGGGTGGAATGGAGCCGTGACGGAGAGTAAGGGATCACTGACAGCTGAATCATGACGTTCATTCTCACACAGAGGGCTTAAAAGTCACGTTGGTTGGATGATTGATTTCTGTGTTTGTGTCCAGGGTTCTGTCCCCTGAAGGAGACCCTCATGTGGAGTTTCAGGAAGATGGGCAGGTCCTAAAGGTGAAGTCAGTCAGACTGAGGGATCAGGGTCTTTACCAGTGTCTGGCCAGGAACAGCGCGGGAACTCAGATGCGGCAGTTCAGACTAACAGTTCAAGGTGTTTGCTCTTTGCTGTTCTAAGCACTGCTCTAAGGAAAACACATCATCACAGACACAGCAGCTGCAGCCTTTTGTTTACATGAAGCATGCAACAGGAGGTGTTAAACCCATGTTTGCTGTAATGACTTGGCTTTGAGATTCATTAGCTCGATCATTTGCATATTCTTGTTCAGCTACTCAGTGCCGTCTTCATTCATCATTAAACCTCTGATTTCATTTCCATAGGATTTACATAAAAAGCATGTATTTAAATCTGGAAACTCTGAGCTTATCTCAAGTTTCTTTATCATAACAAAAAAAAAAAAATAAAGAAGCTTTACTAAACAAAGCGGTTAAATATATACACAGAATATTTAATCAGATGAGTTATGCAGATACATTTACATTTACTTGGATAGAAGATCTAAATTAATCCTAATTATACGATAATGCAGCTAAAATATTGAAAAAAAACATAAATTAAAGGAAATTACAACAACCGCATTTAGCAACCCCCCTGATTAAATGTGTGGTAACAGTGGAAAAGAATACTAAGCATAATCTGGTAGTAGTACTTCTAATGAAAGGCTGGGTATGGTTTTAAATTCAAACTTTCAGAGCACCTTCTTCTTTCCTTTGCACCACCTCTGCTTTACAGGCTCCTCTGTGAAGCTGAACCTTCTGGTATTTGTGTTTTAATATCAACTGTTATCTTCTCCTTTAGCTCCGCCCATCATAAAGGGCACAAATGAGACTTCCGAGGTGTCAGTCGTGCTGGGTTTCCCCAAAGTCCTCTCCTGTAATACTGAGGGCTCACCTACACCCAGCATCACGTGGCTGAAGGATAACCATCCCATCGTCTCCTCGCCTCAGCTGACGTACACTCTTGGAGGGCAGGCTCTGCGCCTGGGCTCAGCACAGGGAGACAGCAACGGTCTCTACACTTGCAGGGCGACCAATGCAGCAGGCACAGCCACTAAGCATTACTCTCTCAGTGTTCTGGGTAAGACGCATTTATAGGAGTGAGAGATAAAGGATCCGGAGGAACTGCCCTGAGGTTGATTCACTAACTTCTCCATCTCATTAGTCCCACCGCAGATAGAGGGAGATTCCTCATCCTTGACATTTTCTGGACAGGAAGAGAAAGTGCGGATAAACGGGAGCTTAACTCTGTCCTGCTTGGCCAAAGGTTTCCCTGAACCAAAGGTTCACTGGTTTAAAGATGGACAGGTTAGTTCATGCTGTATATTCAAAGCTAAAAGCTCTGATTTCTGACCTCTATCATCCTCTGCTGGTGATCAGTATGAACTACAAGAAGCAACACTATAAACACCCGCTTGCACAAACCACCTGCACTGCAGATTGAGTGTGATGAGTATTTCTGTTAATTATAGCAAAAGCATGTCCAAAAGGAATCCATGACCTGAATGTGACCATTTTGACTAGAAAAAGTTTTTTTCCCTCAACCTGCAACTTTAGATCTCTCCAAATAACAGTTTAAAAACAGTTTAAAGAACCTTTAAAGCAGATATCTAAGTTTTCTAAGTCTGATTAATTATCTTGTACCTATTTTTCAGAGTATTGTTACTGAGAAACATGTTTTTTACAATTTAGACAAATTATTTGAGATAATAAACTTCAAGTTTTTAGAATTGGAAGGCCTCTATGCCATCTCCCTAATCGCTGGCTCCCTCCACAGATTCTCTTTAAAATTCAAGCTGGTTCTCTGGTTGGGGCCACTCCAAAACATCATTATTTCTTCCACTCAGGCGAAACATGCTGGTAGAAAAATGAAAGACTAGTTTACTGCCAGGCATATGAACAATTTGCTAATTTCCTCAGATGGACGACAATATGAGAAACCATCAGTAAATATTCCTGGAAGATCCCAAAAAAGTAAAAGTTCTGACATTTCGAATTGAAAAAGCATCCTGAATGGGAAGCGAAATGTCTTCAAGTTTGTAACAAAGTCCAGTGGATTGTTTTTATACTTTTTTGGAATAACTATGATATAGATGACTGAGAATCTTCACCAGCACGTTCCTGGATTATTGTCATCCACTAAATAACAGTTAATGCATTTGTTTGTACCTTGCAAACGGTTAAAACCAACATAAAGTCCATACCAGCGATAAAAAAAGCAATACATTTTAATAATGAATAGCTTTAAATCTCATCAATCATATTTTTATTGTTGTTAAAACAGATGTACAATGCCATTCAAACTGTAGTGTTTTGCAGTTGTTACAATTGTTTTCATCATGTACAGTATAACAAGAATCAAACAGCATTTCAACATTTTTATATTTTTATAAACCCCATTCAACCCTAAAAACCCCTGTGCCAGCAGGAAAATAAAAATAACTAAAAAAAAAAAAAAGAAAAGGAGTAAAATGAAAACACTTTACATTGAGACTTGTTTACTAGCGAGAAGGGAGATTTGTAAGTTTGTCAAAATAACCCAATAGAGGGTCCAATACTTTGTAAAATTTTTGGTTGACCCTTTCAAAAAATATTTATAATTCTTTTTGTACTGAATTTCCAAAATATAATAGATAATGATCTTCAAAGCTTAAGTATTTACTTTTGTGTGCAGTTGCTGACTGGAAGCTACCAGGCTGGGATTGAGGAGAAGGGACACCTCCTCCACATCAAAAACGCCGGACTTTCCCATGAAGGCCAGTACACTTGTGTGGTGTCCAACTCTGCTGGAGAGGATAAGAGAGACTTTCATATCACTGTTCAAGGTATTCACACAGTTGACTTAGATTTGAGTTAAATGTTCTGTTAGAACCTTAATTTCTCTTTTTATTTGCACCAGTAAAGGTTGATCATTTTAGGTGTGCTCTCTTCTCCCCAGTTCCTCCTGTCCTCCAGCGGGTGACAAACAGGGAAGCAGCCTGGGGTTTGGGACATGAAGGAGACAATGAGGACAGAGTGGAAAAGAGGGATGTCGCCTTAGGTCACTCAGTCAGCCTGTCCTGTGAGAGCAATGCCATCCCTCCTCCTAAACTCAGCTGGTACAAGGATGGAAGAAAACTCAGCTCTGCTGACGGAGTGATCCTGCATCCTGGTCAGTTGAAACCAATAACCTGTTCTCTACTGCAGAGACCTTATGTTTATAGACCAAGCTGTTTTAACGGGTCATTTGTAAATCCTTTCAGGAGGACAGGTGCTACATATCCCTCGAGTGCAACAGGAGGATGGTGGAAGGTACACATGTCAAGCTGTGAATGAGGCTGGAGAAGATCACATGCATTTTGAACTGGATGTCCTGAGTAAGGAAAAAAAAAACCCCACAAACTATCTCCTTTGATATTTGTATTAAAATAGTAGCATACATGCTTATTTTTATTTATTTATTTTTGTGTTCATAGTTCCTCCTGTTATAATGGGCACATCAGAGGAGTTTATGGAAGAAATGGGAGCAGTGGTGAACAGCACCGTTGTTCTCCACTGCGACGCAACTGGACACCCCGCTCCAGTCATCTCCTGGATGAGAGATGGGCAGCCGGTGCACACAGACTCCCAGCACCACATCAGCAAGGATGGAACAGCTCTTCAGGTGAGATGCATTTTACCTGCAGAGTTTTTACCCACCTGTGACGGACCCAGCTGTGGAGTTTATACAGAGGAATAACACAATGATCTCGATCCTTCAGCTCCTCAGTGTGCAGGTTTCAGACATGGCTGACTATATGTGTGTGGCTGAGAATAAAGTCGGAACAGTCGAGAAACATTTCAACCTGGCAGTGCAAGGTGAGACTTTAAAAGTAGTCAAACCCCATAAACATTTTCCTACATTTTCTTGTGTTACAGCCACATCCTCAGTGCAGTTTGCAGAGATTAGTTTTTGTATAAACATCACAAAGTGTTGCATTAATTGTAAAGAGCTCAGCTAAAAAGAGCATTAATTAAAGTTATATATGTTGAAACCTAAAAGGTGTTGGAAGCTTTTGGTTTCAACCCCCTAACTCTGTTACCCCGAAACAAAGCCAAGGTATCTTATCCCTTTAAAAATCATCACATTTGTTAATGGAGTCTATCGTGATGTATTTTATTTTAAGTATCAGATAATATAAATCATAATAAAAATCTGTGAACCACCAAACAGGCTTAAATTGAAGGGAACGGGATTTTCTGAAAATCTTTCAACACTTATCAAGAAGTCTGTCAGTTCTGTCTGCTCACAATAAGCTTTTTGTCCGATTGTACAAATTAAACACACCAATCCTCCCATGAAACATGGCGGTGACAGTATCATACTGTGGGGACTCTTTTTTTCAGCCAAGATAGGAATATAACTTGATTTGTAAAAATCCAGTTAGAGGCTGAAAGACTGGATTGGAGCAGAGATACAGAATCTAACAGGACGATTTCCTTAATATATAATCTGAGTTTCGATGGAACATTTAGATGAAGCCTATTAGTGTGTTTGAAAGGCCCATTCAAAGTCTGTAGCCATTACCTACCAAATATTGAAATAAATGTTTGCACAGACTCTATATCTTATCACATTAAGCTTCATCTGCAAAAAAAATACAGAAATAAAAAGATGTAGAAGTAGAAGTCCAAAGACTTCAGGCTGTCATTTAATAAAAGGTGGCTCTACACAGCATTGGCTAAATACATCATGTAATGTGAAGTTTTGTGGCTGTAATGTGACAAAATGTAAAAAAAAAATAGGCCTCAGGGGAGTTAATTTTATTACGACAAAATGTATTCATTTGTTTGCACTAAGCAAATGTCAATCTCAGTGCCTCCTAGAATCACAGGACCTAAAGAAGAGGAGGTGAGCGTGATCGAAGGCCTTACGATGTCTTTGCTGTGCGATGTCCAAGCGTACCCTCCCCCAGAGATCACATGGACCAGGGATGGACAGGTTCTTCATTTTAGCACAACGGTTCACATTCTGCCAGGTCAGCCAGGGGCCAACTTCTAAAAATGACTTTTATATCATCTATACTTCTGTTCCTTCAATCCAATTTTAACACTGAGATTACATATAAAACCCTAAATGTGCGTCAAAGGTGGCCAGATGTTACAGCTGCCTCGGGCGAGACAGGAGGATGCGGGTCAGTATGTGTGCACAGCTAGCAACTCAGCAGGGCAGGACCAGAAGAGCTTTCTCCTCAGCGTTTATGGTGAGCAAACGCACGATGACCCATCTGCACGTTTCAGATTCATATACAGATGATCAAATCTGAACACTTTGTCCGTGCAATAAAATGTGTTTATCTTTAACCAGCTGGGGCTGACGACAGGTTAGCTTTGAATCATACATTGTCTAAATAGATCAAACTTTCCATTGTCTTCAAACAAACAGTCCCACCCTCCCTGAAGCCGCGGCACGACGCCGATACTGACAGTGTGACCCCTCAAGTTGGCTCTTCGGTCATCCTGCGATGTGAAGCTCATGGTGTTCCTGAGCCAGAGGTCACATGGTACAAGAATGGGCGGCAACTGGCTGCAGGGAACGGGCTGAAGATAAATGGAGACCAGCTGGAGATCGTAGGGGTTCAGGTTGGAAGAAATGCATTACATCATAGGTGTGTCAGGCTGGAAACCAAACAAAACCCTTATAAGGACACTAAGTGGCTGTCAGCATGACTTGTTCACCAGCTCGTGGATGTTTGGCGTCTGACGAGCACATTTATGAGCCAGCAAACATTTATTTCATTTGTTTGCCTACAGCCTTTCCTAAAAGATAGAAAACGTAACGACAAATTTCCACTTTAATAAATCTATGGAGGACTGCTCAGTGGAGCAGTGGGTAGCACTGCTGTCTTGCAACAAGAAGGTTCTGGGTCAGATTCCTGGCCAGGGGTCTTTCTGCATGGAGTTTGCATGTTCTTCCTGAGCATGTGTGTGTTCTCTCCAGGTATTCCGGCTTCCTCCCACAGTCCAAAACCATGACTGGCTTCTCTAAATTCTCCTTAGGTGTGAGTGTGTGCGTGAATGGTTGTTTGTCCTCTTTGTCTCTCTGTTGCCCTGTGATGGCAACACAGGGTGTACCCCGCCTCTCGCCTGTAGACGGCTGGAAATAGGCACCAGCACCTCTCACGACCCCTCTTGGGATAAGCCTGATGTAAAATGGATGGATAAATCTATGGACGGATGAATCCCTGCTAAAACTTTTTTTCTGACACAGACTACAGATGGTGGGATGTACACATGCAAAGTGTCCAATGTGGCAGGACAGGTGGACAGGACATTCAGGCTGACAGTTCATGGTAAGAATATCCCTGATAACCACATAGAAACTTTAAACATTTATCTCGGATAGGTTAGAGGTTATACATGGAGGTTTACAAACAAAATGTATTCCCCTAGTTCCACCCATGCTTGATGGGCCTCAGTGGGAGTCTGTCAATTACACCCTGGGCTCCAATGTGGCCCTGCTGTGTGAGGCCACAGGGGTGCCAGTCCCCAGCATCACTTGGCTGAAAGATGGAACTCCCATAGGTAGGAGAAAGGCATCCATGGATGAAATGAGAAAACACTGTGCATTTCTTATATGTGACAGCGGAAGTAAGTGGTTGTGTTTGCCAACCAGAGAGCAGTCTGCAATGGCAGTGGTCGGTTCGAGGTAACCGGCTGGAGCTGGGCCCTCTCACTCTCTCTCATGCCGGGACGTACACATGCCTGGTGAAGAACAGCGAAGGACAAACACAGAAAGACTTTTCGCTCACAGTGCTTGGTAAGATTTTCCCCACATCCTCTGACTTATTCAGGTTTTCTGTGAGGATTTATGGTGATAGCTTTATATAATCCCTGTGGTTCCCAGTTTCGCCCACCATCCTGAACTCTGACCAAGCATCTGATGTGAGTGGACCCATAGGAGAAGAGCTGACCCTGGACTGCAGAGCAAATGGAATCCCGCCACCTCGCTTCAGCTGGCTGAAAGATGGAGAGTCTTTGGAGGGATCGGACACGCATCACATCACGTAAGACTTTTAAGTCCTTTACTACATGAAGTGATTCGTCAGGAAAATGTCAGAAATGATTAAAACAGTTCAATGAAGCTTTCTGATTATTACAGTATGAGTCATAATACATGATAACAGGCATGACCGAGAGAAACAGAGACAAATGGTTTTAATTCCACCATGACGGGTAATATGAGCAGCTGTGTCACAGCTGTTCTCCTCATGATATGATCATCGCAGCTACATCAGCCAGAGAGAGCAAATCTGTTTGTGTGAAAGCCATGTGAAGATGTTCATAATGCTAAGTAAATAACGGCAAGATTCAGAGGTCAAGTGGTTATGACAGGAGAATAAACGTACAAACATTATGTGGATGTGTGTTTATGCTTCACCCCACAGTTTGACCCCCAGTGGCAGCACACTGACTGTCAGGAGGCTGAGCCCTGAGGATTCTGGGACATACACGTGCTTGGCTGTCAACCCCGCTGGTCAGGAAAGCAAAATCTACACCCTGGTGGTTTTAGGTTGGTTTTGATCTTATATGATTATTTTATTAGAAATGTTCCTCCAATGACAAACGTGTTCAAAGCCTTAGAGAAATTTATATTTTATTACAGTAGATTACTTTTGTGTTTAGTCACTAAGAAAAAAAATAAATATTTTCAACAAAATCCCTGATTTTGTAAGATGCTTTGTCTTACTGTTCACCATTTAAAAATATTTTACCTGCAGTGAAAGGAAGTTTTCCAATTTCTCTGATTCACCCTGAGTACTTCTTTCACTTTGTCATAAAAGCATTGCAAAGTTTTCGAATCATACTGCCACCTGTGGCCAAAACATAGAACTGCAGCACTGCCCATTCCTGTAGCTCATGCTTGTACTTCACAAGTCGTTTACTTTTTTTTTTACTTTTTTCATTTTACCTGAGGTCGCAATTGATCTGGAGGCTGGTCACCTCCACAAAATTCATCTTAATATAAAGCTTTGACTGTTAGCTAGGTCGGACCTGTTTAACATGGAAATGTTTGATGCCACATCCGCCAAAAAGCACAGGAACTTCTGACCCAAAGTAAATTCAAGGAAAATAGGCTACAAGCTTATAGATGCATCTGTGCTGAACTACTTAGGTTTCTTTCATCAAACAATGTTTTAATAATAAATGGTCAAATAAAAAGGTGATTTTAAACCACTTTAGACACAAACCACTCTGAATCCCCCCCGCCTAGGGTTGCCAATCGTCCCTTGTAAAACAGAAACTTTCCTTATTTAAAAATAGAAGTACCTGTCCTGTATTTAGTGGAAAAGGAACACACTTTGTCCCGTATTGAGGGTGAAAAAATAGTCAGTAAAAAGCTAATGGAAAATGAAGAAAAAGGGAACGTTAGATACAAAACATGGATAAGATAACGGGAGACAACAGAGCAGTATTGGGGACGAACAGAGTGTTTTTTAATGCTGACGCTGCAGGAAAAGGAATCCTGGCAGTCCAAAGGAAGAGCAGAGAGGTGGATGGAGGTTCTTTAGGCAGCTGACCTTCCCAAGCTGCTGTGTCCTTTGTCCTCAGCATCCCATCTTCCACTGGTTTTGTGAAGAGGATTTCCTCCTTAATGAAGAACAAATGGACTGATGTGTGGAACAAAAGTTCCACTGAATTAATTAAAGCTGAGCTCATTGTCAGCCTCAATTATGAACTTTCTTGCTCAGACTTTTACTCTGAAGCACTTAAAGACAAACAACTCACTGCTGCAAGTGCTCTGAGGGAATACAAGTGGGAAAAGCAGGCTATCGCCACATAATGTGGCATTGAGCTAAAGATCTGTTTTCTGTTTTACAACTGTAGCCTACAGTCATTGCATTTAAGACACAAATATGTTTACAAGTTTGCACAAGTTGCTGTTGCACCAAAAATGTGCACTATTTATTTATTGCTTTATATTCATTTTTACCATTTGAAGTTAAGACTGACAGGCTTATGTTTAAGATACTTATTTTATTCAGCAAAGTTTATTATTTTGTGTTAAAATGAATTGCTGGATAATAATTTGTTTTCCATGTGTTCATGTCACTCACAGATATGCATCTAATTCAATTCAGATTTGAGTCAAATAGTAAAAAAAAAATAATAATTGCACACACAAATCAGCACGCAATGAGGGGTAAAGGCAATCGGGTCAGCTGGCACATCCTTTTTTTTCCTCAGGGAGTTGGCAACACTACCCCCGCCCCCAACAAAATTAACACTCCCCAGGTGACCCCCTTAGCCAATCCTGGAGGAGGGAACATGGACACCTTTTGTTCCCTCTGATTCCTTTGCAACACCTACAATGTATTAATCTCAGTGCTCTCCACCACCTTTGATGAGGCGAAACGTCTTCTGGAAAATGTCACATCCAGTTGCCTAAACTGAAATTTTCAAGCTTGACCATAACCTCGATGACTGAGAATCTTCACAGACAGAAAATTATATTTTGGGGGCGTTTCCCCTTAAAGAACTAGTTGTACTAGGTAGCATCTACTGTAGCATCTACAGTTGATGCTACCCAGCCTAAAGCTTGAAATAGGACAGTCAGCTACGGAGATCTTTTATTTTCTGCCTTACTGTCCTGCTCAGTCTATAAGTGCTGGCTAAACTGATGTGGCTTTTCAATAAGTCTAATGACCAGTGGCTCAAACAAAGTGGCCTCTGGGTCATCTCATATGGAAAAAAGTCAATTGGGTTCATGAAAGATTGATCAACTTATCAGAAGTTAAAAGACTAAGACTTAGACTTCCTTTATTGTCATTGCACAAAAAAACACAAGGTGAATCTTGACAACGAAATGTCGATTACTTGGCTACCAGTGTAACAGAGCTAAGACCTTATTCATGCACAATAAATATGTTTTATATAACTAAGAGCCAGCTATAAAAGGGTCCTGGATTAAAATCCCAGCCTGATGTTTTCCTGCATGGAGTTTGCATGTTCTCCCTGAGCCTTTGGCTTCCTTCCACAATCCAAAAACATGACTGTTAGGTTATCTGTCTTTTTAGATTGGCCTTTGATGGGTTGGTGTCCTCTCCAGGGTGTCCAGAATGCACAAACCCCCCTGTGACCCTGCATGCAAAATAGATTATAGATCCAAAAAAAGAAAATTAAAAACAATCCACTGGACTCTGTTTCCAAGTTTGAAGACATTTCGCTTCCCATCCAGGATGCTTTTTCAATTCAAAATGTCAGGAATAGTGTTGAATAACAGACGAAGGGGTCATTTGGTTAGAAGTTAGAAGAAAGAGGCCAAACGACCCCCATTTCAAAGGGGTGGACCCCTTCATCCATTTAAATTTGCATGTTTTCAAAACAAAAACAAGCCTTTGTTGGGCTACTGTATAAAAACTTCGTACTCAACGCTATTTCTGATATTTTTAATTGAAAAAGCTTCTTGGATGGGAAGCGTAACATCTTCAAACAAAGTCGAAACTTGGAAACAAAGTCCAGTGGATTGTTTTTCATTTTCTTTTTTTGGAATGACTATGATCTGGATGACTGAGAATCTTCACCAGCAAAAAAAATAAATAAAAAAAATCATCAAATAAATAAATGTAATCTAACAAAAACTTCCAATTTTGTTTAATATTCTTCTTTGTTTCTGCATTTTTTATTTTTTATTTTTTTTATTTATTTTTTTATTTTTTTTTCCTACTTGCTTTGATTCTGTTTTATCTTCCTGTATTTTAATCATGTAAAGCACTTTGCATTGTCTTTGTACTGAATTGTGCTATACAAATAAATTCGCCTTGCCTTGCCTTGCCTAGCAGAGATGATAGATCATTGATAGATAGATGGTACAATTCTGATAAAACAATTCTTTACTGTATTTTTCTGCTAATTCAATAAATATAATCAAATGTTTGTGTAATTTTGGATCTCTATCAACTTTCCCGTGTGAGACTATGCCACAATAATGATTGATGGATCTATTTCTTTTTTTTTGTTGCATGTTTACCATGGATATCGACATAATAGATCAAAGACTATATAGAATTATTTAATCTGATAATAACTTGCCTCCCTTTGTTCATAGTCCCGCCTTCTATCTCTGGTGAGACCTCAGTCCCTAGAGAGGTGCAGGTGACTCAGGACAGCATGGTGACTCTGGAGTGTCACGCAGCTGGAAACCCTCCACCTCAGATCAGCTGGCTGATGAACGGACGGCCTCTGCTCCTCTCCCCTCGCACTCGCCTCCTCTCTGGTGACGCTGTACTTAGGTCTGTTTAGATAACGGCAGATATCTTGTAAATAATTAGATTATTAGAGATGAAGTCATTCCTAATTGTCATCTCTTTGACATGAAGGATTTTTCGTGTGCAACAATCCGACTCTGGAGTTTACACTTGTGTGGCACGGAGTCAAGCTGGCCTTGCTGAGCTCAGCTATGATGTGCAAGTTCAAGGTAAAATCCAATCCTTCTCAATTTTTAAATAGGTTACAAATAAATTAGGATTTTGGAGAGTTTATTCAGCCTGTGCTCCTGGTCTGCAGTGCCCCCTGGTGTCGATCATGTTGAACCAGTGGAGCCAGTTACAGTGGTCCGGGGATCCTTGGTGACTTTAACCTGTGAGGCTCATGGGTTCCCGCTTCCCACGCTGACCTGGCTGAAGGATGGACAGCCACTGTCTCTGCATAGAAACCTGCTGCTGGATGGACAGGAGACTCGCCTGAAGCTCGCTGATGTGACCCGATCAGACGAAGGCCTTTACAGCTGCGTGGCCAGCAACCAGGCAGGAAGCAGCACCAAAAGCTTTAACCTCACCGTGCTTGGTAGAGCAATCATGGCGTTTGATTTCTACACATCTAAAAGTCACGCTGTAAAATTCAATAAACAATGAAGTAAAACATTTTCCTTTCTGTTCCAGAGCCTCCAAAGATTTCCCACTCCAGCTCACCAGAAGAGCTGACCGTACCAGTAAACAGTCCACTTGAGCTGGAGTGCTCCGCTGTGGGTGTCCCTCCTCCGACCATCAGCTGGCTGAAGGATGGTCGGCCTCTGGAGGGAGCTGACATCATTCAGCAGGATGGACAAGTCATCCGGATCAGTAAAGTTCAGGTTCGCAAAACATCCATACACATTGAACTTTTTGATATTTTTTTTCAATTTGTTACAAACTTTGTTAGGTTTTATTATCATTTTATGTGATAAATATAATGAAACTGATAATTAGTGGTTTTCAGGTCTAAAAAGTAAAGTGTGTGTTTTTAGCTACTCAGTAATTTATAGAACCTGATTTATTTACAGCCTTCAACAATTTGGAGCTCAGCTTACTCTTTACAAAACAACTCAGCCTCTATCTATTGATTTTTTTTCAACTTTGTTGATTTTAATAGGAAACAAAACATTGATGTTTATGAGATAGGACAATCGTTTAAAACCCAAGTCTGTATTTGATATTGCCATATTTTCCTCCCTGATGTGTCAGCTGTGTTCCTCGGTCTTCATGATGGATGCCGTACTGCAGGGCTCCGCCATTTTTAGAATCAATGCAAGCACTACATACCAAAGGGGCCGTCCCAAAATTTACCGAATTCAATCAAGTCATTAAATCCACATCCTATGGGTTTAGATTTTTCCTTCACCAAAATCAGCATGAGGGTTAGCCCACAGAGGAGAGGATAAACCGAAGGCAGTAAATTAGGTATTGTAATTTACTGTATTACGTCCATGTAGATTAAGGTTTAGGCTTCTTGTAAAACATCTGGTGTAAACTTTTTTGTTTTTTATTTATTTATGCATTTTAAGAAAATAAAAATTATTAGGTAAACAAAGGAAACTGTTTAGAAATGTCCACAGCAGTCAGGAGTCATTTATGGTAAATAGCTTAAAATTACAGTATAAAATGAAAATTTTAATTTCTTTAAACGTATAGTGGAGGATGTTCTCTGATTTTTGAGAAGAGACACCTGTTCCCCTTCAAAAATGAATGTACATGCACAACCCCGTACCCGCTCCTGAGAGGGAACGCCTATTAAATGAGTGTGAAAACATGAATGAGCTCATTTCTCCTCGTGCAAGCTCTGTTTATAAGTTGCTTTTTGTACCACTCATACAAGCTTAGTTTCCAAAAGAAGATTTGCCAATTTTCCACTATGTCAGACTCACCACCGGTAAGTGAAAATGAGGATTAGCAAGTAGGACGGCCTTATGTAAACATATCACCAGAATGATTGACAATTAGGAGGACCACTTATTTAAATGATCCCCCGGAGAACGAACACTATACTACTGTATACCACTATACCTTTACGTTTTGGAGTAAGAGAACAAAAAAAGATTTTAAAAACTTTCCAAATTAACCAAATTCCACTAAGTATTGTAAAAAAGGTGCCGTTCTGCCACTGCAGATGCTGTTCCCTAGTTATCAGACAAACCTCTGAGGACCTCACCACTCAGCTCTACTGATTTTGTCTCAGGTTAAAGCTGTTTACTATTTAGATAAATCTAAGAGGACAAATTGATGCAGTGTATTTCACATCACCAGAGTTAGTTATGATGAAAACAAAAGCTTAGTGAAGGTTTAATTTGCTTTTTTTTTCTTTTCCATTTTGCAAATATATTGTCCTTATTATTGGTCGTAGAATAAATTTCCAACCAAACATCTAAGAGTTTGTCGTTGTAATGTGTCCAAATGTGAACAAGTACAAAAGATTAAATGTGTTAAAAAATGTTGAAATTAATGCTTGATTGTCTAAACCCCACTGTTAGTTTATGAAGTGCCTGTTTCACATTTTCACACCTAGAAATATTGTCATAATCTCATCTAAAATACAAAGATCCTGATATTTTAATGTAGGTCATCAGTCTAGCTGAAAACAGGCTGCTCTGCCAGAAGCATCCAGGCTGATGAATGTGCTCTCTTTAAAAGGTCGAGGATGCAGGTCTGTACACCTGCTTGGCCAGCAGCCTCGCTGGAGAGGATGGAAGAAGCCACTGGGTCCGAGTGCAAGGTGACACAAGCAGTACTTTCTAAATCCTTCATATTCTTAGGACATAATGAATAAAGTTGAGAGGATGATGGCTGCTAAAACAGACATTTGCTGCTTCATTATGCTCAGAATGCACAGAGTGATTGATGGTTTTAGAATAATGATTCGGGTTTGATTTGAAATTTCTAAGCACATTTAATGTATTCCACCTTCTGTTTCATGTTATAACAAATGGATCCTTCTTTAAATTTTAATCTAACACATAAGGTTATTGTAAATAAAGCAAAGAGAAAAATTATTATCCTTCTTTCTTTGTTTTAGCCAATCTGTACCTGAGCTGCATTTCCGTTAACATCTTTATTTTTTTTGTCCTTTTTCCTTCGATTGTTTTAAGTTGAATTTAGACACATATTTTGCAGTTTTAACACTTAGTTGTGAAAGCGCCCTAACCTAACTCTCTAAATCCCTGAGTTCATAAATGCCTAAGGGTTTTTTTTGTTGCTTTGATTAATTTGTTTTACTAAAACTATTTGTTTTTATATCACAGTCCCACCAACACTCCTAGGCTCCGGTGATGTAAAAACGGTGACCGTGCCGTTTAATGGACACCTGACCTTAGAGTGTTTGGCTGACAGTGACCCCCCTCCACATATAGACTGGTACAAGGATGATGCAAAGCTGCAGGTACAGAATCGACAAAATAAAAGCCTGACAAAAAGATGATACTGAACTGCATTTAACTTCTGTCTTCCTGTGACCTCAGCCTAACGGCCGTATCCAGCAGCTGGCAGGAGGTCAGTACCTGGAGATTCAGGAGGTAAAGCCTGAGGACAGTGGCCAATACAGCTGTGTAGTCACCAACATGGCTGGAAGCAATAGTCTCTTCTTCACTGTGGAGATTCTCTGTAAGTATAACAAAAAGATGCTGAAACATTTTATGAACATTAAAAAAAAAAATGTCATACTGAAAGTTTATCAGATTTCTCATGTGATTTAAAATGTTACTTAATACATTTATCTATATCTATATACTTTAGGGATATACCCTAATATATTAGAGACATCTTTAAAGGCACAATGTGTAACTTTTGGCCACTAGGGGCGCTAGATCTGTAACTGCCAGTATTCTGCTTCTACTAAACATCTGTATCTGTGCATCTGTATGTAATAGTCCCTAGTTTTCTGACCCATATTCAGAACACATCATGGAGACAAGTAGGGTGGATTTAAGATTGTTTATTTTTTAATAAAACAGCCTGCAGGGTGGCGGCAGGTGACAGTGGGCTGGGAATTAGAGCTAAAGCCTTACTGTATCTCTATGACGATATAAGAGCCTGTGGCTGTAAAGGGATACGCTGACCTGGCCAATGACGGATGCATGTTTTCCCAACTTACATAGGTGGTATTTGAAGAGAGGAGCCCTGCTTGTAGCATTAATAGCGTTTAGCGCCGTTTATTGGCCTGAGGAATCATTTAAAATAACACTTTAGGTCACAAAGTTTGCAGTGTGCCTTTAAGTCAGATAGTCTTTTGACTGATTTCTTAGCCCGCAGCTATAGAAAATTTTTCGGTATATATTTATCAGCTTCTCACACTTATCACAGCTATATTGCAAAATATCCCACAAACGTATAGATTAAGTGGAGCTAATCTGTGCACAACTATTTTTAAGTCTTGCAAAATTCAGTTTGATTGAGGTCTAAAGGTTATTGGGCCTCTTTTATCACATTAGTATACTTTAACCAAATGATTTCCAAATTTTCCCAAACAGTTTTCACACCCCTTTAATTCCCCCCCAAATTTAAATAGCATATTTCAATAAAATAAACTACAATCACTAAACTTCACGTGGCTTTAAAAGTGGGAGGTTTATAATAATAATCACAAAACTAACTATTTTAAAGAGTCATTGTTTTTCAGTTCAGCTATTCATTTTATGTTTAAAAGAAGTTTAACATAATTCAAAATTGCTATCAATACATCTTTTTTTTTTTTTTTGCATCTTGAAATGGGTAATGCGTAGAAATGCTGTCCTTTCTACCAGCCCCCTGCCGCCCACTAGCTTTAATCTAAAGTATTCTAAGGCTTTAAAAAGGCTGTATGTTTCGGGTCGTCTTCCACCCCAGTCTCAGACGTTTGTTTGCCTATAATCATTCTTTTCCAGGATTTCCTGTATTTAGTTCTATCCATCATACTGTCCATTCTGAGAAGATATCCATAACCCTCTCAAAGACATGAATCTACATATTATAATCCCGATAACTCGTCTAATGGTGGGAATGGAGTTTTTGGATTTATTGGTTATTAGTTGTGTCTCCCACCCATGTATTTCTGCAGTTACCATGATCCTCTTGGCTGCCTCTTTGATTAATGCTCTCCAAGCCCAGCCTGTCAGTTTCTGTGGGCGACCAGGCCTTAATATGGTAGCTAAATATGAGTCAGCTCTTTTCCTACGTCAAACTGCGAAAGCTTTCTCCCTGCCTTGCCTGCTGTCCTCCTTATGATGTTGTAAACTTACTAATGTTTCTGAGCAAACCTATAAAGCAGTTTTTTTGCACACTGGTGAAATCTTTTTACCATTAAAATGATTTGTAACAGAACCAGAGGTAAGGGGTTTGCATGTAAAATACCCACCACATGTATGAGATTTATTATTAATGTATTTATTGGATGAATGTAAAAAATATTTGACATTTTCCCTCTGATTTACTTATTACCTCTTTAGGTTCCCTCATTAAATAAATGTTAAAATCTAAGTATAAATACTTCATTTTATGTGATCCAAATTCCATCATGAGTTTTTACATTATTCTTTAAAAGTCAAATATTTACTGATATGTATATTGTTCTTCTGGTTTATTAATGTTTATTTGTTGAATCAGGCTGTGATAAATGATGTTTCCAAGTTATAAAATAGTTTAAAATCAATAGCTCTTTATCTTTTATTCATTTATTTATTTATATAAGCTTGGTTGTTGGACATGATTTATGGGATCTCTATTAATCTGCCTATGAGTTTTATTTCTTTAAATTATTAAACATTGTGTATTCAATTTCTAACCCTGAATGGATTTTACATAATGATGCTTAATACGATCCTAAGAATCTAAATATGTCTACCTCTGCATCTGCAGTGCCACCAGTGATAAAGGAAAGCAGCTCGTTGGTAACCGTTCATTTTGGGCAGGATGTGGTTTTACCTTGTGAAGTACAAGATGACTCCTCACCTTCGGTCATGTGGAGGAAAGATGGCTTCCCTGTGCCCAAGGATAACGATAAGTAAGTCCTAAGATATCCAGGCAAAGCGTACGTCACTTGTTGGAGCTTTAGACACACCTACTGTAGGTCATCTAAATGATTTGCTCTTAAACTGAGGGTTGGTTTCAGGTACACGGTGTTATCTGAGGGCTCTCTGCGTTTACGTGGGCCTCAGCTGAATGATGCTGGTCGCTACTACTGCACTGTCTCCAACCAGGCTGGCTCAGATCACCGTGCAATGGATCTCCGGGTGTTTGGTAAACACATCAGATGCAGTTTCTTTATTAATCTAGCACAGTTTTGGTCAAGATTTACAGTTTTTTTTTTTTTTTTATAAATCAGAACAGAAAAAAAACTGTAAAACGTATTTTCCCCTTAAATCTAAAGCCTTTCTATCTCTTTTCAGTTGGTCCTTCTATCAGTCCAGGTCCCATCAACATGACAGTAACCAGTGGAAGTAGAGCTGTGCTTAATTGTGAGACCACAGGTATACCGCCACCTAAAATATCCTGGAAGAGGAATGGAACTCCACTTGACGTTAACCAGCATCCCAGTGCATACAGGTCCATACAAAGCTGTGCTTCTTTTCACTTTTAATTGGACGTAAACCCACAGAGCTGATGTTACAGAGTCTTGTTCTGCCTGCAGGCTACTATCCTCTGGGTCTCTTGTTCTTTTATCACCATCTGACGAGGATGAAGGCTATTTCGAGTGTACGGCGGTCAATGATGTAGGAGAAGAGCGCAGGGTGATTGAAGTTATCCTCCAAGGTAATAATTTGGAGCGCTCTAACATATTCAAATTGTTGCTACAGACACTTCAATGCTTGACTTCTATTTTCCCCTTTAGTCCCACCTTCGATTGAGGATGACGTCACAACAGTGAAGGCTGTGAAAATGGCACCTGTGTCTTTGCCTTGTCGTGCACAAGGACAGCCTCAGCCCACCGTGACCTGGACCAAGGGAGGAGCCAAACTGGGCAACAGGGGAGGAGGTTACCGTGTCCTTCCCACTGGTAAGAAAGTTGGATTAATTCGCTCTTTAGCAGGCTTTAGCCAACCTTAAACAGAGGGGGTGGACTCAGATTTCAACTTTCAAAAACCTACAATTCAGCGATTGAGTTTATTCCTTCCCGCTATCACAGCAACCCCACCCCCTTACAGGGGAACAGAAGACCTTGTCTGTCTAGCCTGGCCAACAATTCCAGTAACGACCCCCATTTCAAAGACATAGACAGGTTTGGGGTATTACAGGTTAACAAAGAAACCAAACGACCCCCATTGCAAAGGGATGGACCCGTTCGTCAGGTTCAATTAGCATGTTGTCTAAGCCAAAACAAGGCGTTGTTTTTGGTCCACTCTATAAAGCATCAAACTCAATGCTATTTCTGAATTTTTGTAATTGAAAAAGCTTCCTGGATTCTTTGGAAACAAAGTCCAGTGGATTGTTTTTTTTTTACTTTTTTTTGAATGACTTTGACCTGGATGACTGAGAATCTTCACCAGCATTTCGACAATGTGAGATTCCCACAGAATAAATAATTTAAGATAAAAAAAAAAACATTTAGATAATGTATGATACAGGAAAAAAAATATTAATTCAGCCAATAAAACAAATTTTCTTTTTTTAGTAGTTAGAAGAATGTTGATTTACGTGTAATGCTATCTTTAAACAGATAAGAGATATTGTTATTGCAGTTTTAATGTAGAAAAGTATAGCAATACTTAGTATTTTTATGAGTTTCGAAAATTATTTAGACTTAAAAAGGTATAAAGAATACATGGTGCACCCAATAGTATTACAGTGCTTTGTGCTCAGCATTGTGTAGCAATGAATGGGGGAGGGGAACATTGCATTAGCCGATGCTCCGTATGGCCATAAAAAACATATAACTTTATATGGGATTTCAACATTAAAAACCTAAATCTTAGGAAAAACAATGTAAAATGCAACTGTTACTTTTTAATAGTCATAACTACAACTATTCATCCAAACCACACATTTCTCAAAAATGAACAGTCCAGAGAAGCTCTACAGTACAGAATAATAAAAAAAATTACATATTCATAATTGTTTCAGGTCCAAAATATATAAATATTTACTTGTCCAAATGATGGTAATCCATCAGAATGAAAGATTATACACCAATAGGACAAGTAATGTGAAGCTGTGTGAAAGAAGTTGCCAGATCCTTTTAGCAGCATGATAAAGATCACAAATGGCTTCTTTTTAGCATTAAATTATTATATGTAAATAAAAAAAGAAGAGCAAAACGTGGGTGAATATCGGTCCAGCTTTTGAGCATTGTTGCCGCATTAACAGAGCAAAAGGGTTAAGAAACCATGCAGAGGATGCTGCTTTTCTTCTGAATAGCTGAGTTAGATCTTTAGCATTAGTATTTGCAGAGTTGGCATCCAGGCAACCTTGGTATACCTTGATAACTCCATGTCTGTTCCTCAGATTTCTGTGCTCCTTGCATTTTAAAAGTTGTTGTACTAATATAATGATCCTAGAGGATTATACAGGATTCTTTCTCTCCATATTGATGCAGGGGTGTTGGAGATCACTGCCGCTTTGCCGAGTCATGCTGGCAGATACACATGCTCAGCCCGAAACCCTGCAGGAGTGGCTCACAAGCATATCTCTCTGACAGTACAAGGTAGGTTCTGATGGACCTGAGGCCAGGCATCATGTAAAAATACTAGATGGATTATTATGGAATATACAGTGGCAGGTCACTTGTAAAATAAAGTTTCCCTTTTCATTATTCTAGAACCACCAGAGATCCGGCCAATGGCGGAGGAAGTACAGGTACTGTTGAATCATGGAACCGTCCTTCCCTGCGAAGCTCATGGATTCCCCAGACCATTAATCACCTGGCAGAGAGAAGGAGTTCCTATAGCAGCGGGTGAGAAGAACATAAGAATTTTCTTTAACAAACTCAGCTGGAATGTACTGCCATTGAAAATCATTTTAACATAATTTTTACTTTAACAATAGCATTCCTTCCACTGCCCTCACAGGATTGTTATTTATTCTAATTGAACTGATTGAGCTTGTGTCTCTGTTCCAGGCCACAGGCTGGCTGTTCTCTCCAATGGAGCTCTGAAATTCTCTCGCGTGACTCTTGGAGATGCTGGGACCTACCAGTGCCTGGCAAAGAATGAGGCAGGTGTAGCTGTAGCAAGAACCAAACTGGTCCTTCAAGGTAAAAGGGACTCCTGGTTTCAAGACTGTATTAAATTAATCATTGAATGAATGCCTTGCTGTCACAGTAGATATGCCATCTGCAATTACGAAACACACAATCTTATAGGCCGTCTTTAAAGGAAATTTATAAATTCACTCTCCTGCTTTCTCTCCCAGTTCCACCGGTGCTGAGTGTGCCTCGAAATGACTACATCGCTGTTTTAGGCCAGCCCATCAGTCTGGAGTGTGCAGCTGATGGTCAGCCTCAGCCTGAAGTCATTTGGCATAAAGAGAGGAGGCGTTTGGTTGACGGTGCTCATACACGCATATTTTCCAATGGAACTCTGGCTATTGCTTCCACACAGCGCAGTGATGCAGGAATCTACACATGCACAGCTAAAAACCTGGCCGGCAGAGTTACCCATGATATTAGGCTAATCATTCAAGGTGGGATGAGGCTTTGTTTATCTCCACCTGGTGTTGTGTGTGAGTTATAACAAATTAAAAGTACTTCTGTTTATTGTATTTCAGTTCCACCCATGATTGCGCCAGCTCAGACAGAGCTGTCTGTCATTCAGGGGTTTCAGGCTCTACTGCCATGCGCAGCTCAGGGCTTACCAGCACCTAGAGTGTCATGGGAGAAGGATGGGGCTGTTGTCCTAAACCTTCTTGGCAAATTTACCATCCTGCGATCTGGAGAGCTGATTATCGAGAGGGTGGAGGTAAGACTTGGTTTCATTGGTAGTTTCCTCTAGAGGTGGGCAGAGAAATCGGCCAGTGACAGGAATCTCAGAGTTTACAGCTTGATTGGACTGACCAAGTGATGAGAAATAAAAATTCCAACTGTATCAATATCAGGAAACAAATGAAAACTAAGCAGTACATTGTTAAACTGAAGACACCTCAGCGTGGAAGTTTTTACTGAGTGAATAAAGCTTAAGATTTTGTTTCAACAGTATCAACAAGATGTTCAGAAAATACGTTCTGCTAATTTCCTGACAAAGCTGTGATTTTTTGTGTAGAGAGTGGATATTTTTTTTTGCAGAAAACTGGAAGATGGAAGAAAAACTAAAAATAACTACTTTTAAAATAAAGTGAATGAGCTGTGGGAAGCCAATAAAAAAAAAATTCTGTTCATGTCAGAGGCTATGTTTTCTAAGAATACACAGAGAGAAGCTGTTTAATTGTTTTCTTGTAATCTAAGCCCCCGTGTTAGTCCAGCTATACCTATAAGATTGATACGCTAACATACAGATTAGGGTAAAGTAATGTGAAGTTTCCAGTCCAAAGCAATGTCGGCGTGTGGCGCAGGGAGCAGGAGTCAAACCGACAACCTTCTCATTGGCAGGTTAACACTTCTCCAACTGAGCAACTTTTTCTGTGGCTGTCCTGGGAGAATGGGAAAATACCAGGTTCAGTTCCAGCCCCCCCCACCCCCAAAATGACAACTTTGTATTATTGTATTATTATAATTTTGTCATAGTTCTTATTATGATTAGAGTAGTTATTTTACAGCAATTTCAGTAAGAAGTTGCCTATTAAAGTAAGTTTAAAATCGCTGTCCATCTTAAAACCAAGATTTGTGACTGAGGACCTAATATGTGTCACTAGGGGGCCAAGATTGATGGAGAGAGATTAACATGCTCCACTAGTTCCAAACACTAGTACCTCTGTCTTTTCTTTATTAAAATGCGGGTAATTTAGTACCATCCAAGCTTTGGTATCCCCAAGAGATAATAAAAGTGGTTTAATTGACCAGCCATCACTTGGTTTGGGCACATAGATTTGGCAACCATCAGTACAGCAGTGGAAGAAGATGCCATATTTTCTAAAAATGGATCCCAGTGGAGGGAGGTCCAAAGAAAACAGCAAAGGTCCCGAAATTGAGCCCTGGGGAACCACACATGACAGCGGAGCAGAAGCAATTTCTACTGAGAGTGTTCTGCCAGACAGATAGGACCTAAACCAGTCCAAAGCAATGCCACCAATGCCTACTCTGTTCTTTTGGCGAGACAGTAAAAGATCAACTGTATTAAAAGTAGCGCTTAAATCTAATAAAGAGTAACACAACAGAGGATTGGGTTTATTAAATTAAGCCACCTTGCACATGTCCAGTGTCCAGCATGCTGAGGTATTTCATAAAAATGAAAATAATGTATTCTGTATTCCTTTGTTTTTTTAATTTATTTGATTTAAAATGGTAATTGAAAATCAAAACTGTTTCCCATTTCTCTACATTAAAGAAAAAAAATCATTTACGTTTTCAATAAAAAATAAACTGAACAAATGATACATGGATTTAGCTGCTTGGAGAGGAATTGGTTTTGACTCTTTTCTTTTCACAGCTGGAAGATGCTGGTACATTCACATGTGTGGCCACCAATGCTGCAGGCTCGGTGAGACGCGACATCCACTTGTCAATCAACACCCGGCCTGTCTTTAAAGAGCTGCCAGGTGATGTAACCCTGAACAAAGGACAGAGTCTGGCCTTATCCTGCCACGCTCAGGGAACACCTCCTCCCACCATCTCCTGGACTTTCAACAACAAGCTGTATAAAGGTACTATCTGCCCTTTTATCTTGGTTAATTACAGAATCTGGGTTCTGAATCTATTTTAACTGTTACAGCAGCCATCACAGATGAGGCAGGGAGGAGCTCGGTCCTCATTGAGAATGTGACCTTAAACGACGCTGGGACCTATGTGTGCTTAGCGGAGAACAGCGTGGGCTCCATTAGAGCTCTCTCGTTTGTTCGTATCAGAGGTGAGATTTTAATCAAGGATTCTTTCCACTTAAATAACTTGTGAATAAATTGTAATTTACTTACCTGTTGCGTTATTTTTTTCTCTGCCACATTCAGAACCACCAGTATTAAAGGGTGAAGCCCACACATCTCAGACGGTTGTCCAAGGTGGAGCTGCAATGCTTGACTGTCCGGTTCATGGAGACCCCAGCCCTGTCCTCCGCTGGCTGCGAAATGGAAAGCCTTTACATCGCCTCCTCCGGATGCAAACGCTCCGCAACGGATCTTTGGTCATTTACAGCATCACTGTAAATCCAACTTCCTTATTTTCTATTTTTTAACTGTAAATAGAAAAAAATTGTTCTCTGATCAATGACAGTGAAAAAAGGAGATTGATGATGATTGATTAGAGAGTCAAAACTAGAGTCAAACCAATGTGTGGCTCATGATCTACACCAGGCATCCCCAAACTCGGTCCTCAAGGCCCCCTGTCCTGCAGGTTTTAGAGGTTTCTCTGCTTCAGCACAGGAAGTTATAATGATTGCAGTAGACCAAAAGCCTGTTAATCAGCTTTCAATTAAAATCAGTTGTGCTGGAGCAAGGAAACCTCTAAAACCTGCAGGACTGGGGGCCTTGAGGACCGAGTTTGGGGATGCCTGATCTACACGGATAACTTTTTATAATTTTCCCCACATCAGCTAAAGGAGTCAACAGAAAACTGTTTAATGTTAAAAAGGAAGAGTCGGTCAACAAAGTATATTCAACGGATCATTAGCTATACCTAAAACTTAATACGTTTGCAGTGATTTAATGAATTTAGCGTTTAGTAAAAAAATGAAAACAATAATTTTCATCTTTATGACTGAGTCTGAGAACGGACATTTTTGCCCAAATATAGTAACACCTCACTCCTGCCATCTTCCAGCAGTGACGTCACGGTGCGGTAAGCCTAGCGCCATTCTCCCCGCTTTACAAGCAAAATCAATGGGAACTACTAGACACATCTGCAATCAACAACAATTATTGAAGATTTCCAGAGGACTTCACCATTGCAATTCACCAGAGTTATAGTGAAACTGACAATGCCCACGTGCATGGCAGTTGGATATTGTAATACATCGGTTAAAAGTAAAGAAAAAAAAATTCCTTTCCAATTCATGATCCTCCATGGACTCATCGGTTCATCGTTGGATTGCCAACTTGAAGAGGGAGGATATGCCATTGAACTTCTGGCCAGAGAAGAAAACACGTAATATGTAACCAACATTTCGTTTTCTAGATGATAATATTGGATTGGATAATAGCGCTTTGTGAAAAACATCAGCTATTGCATCCAGGTGCCTTTTAATGCAACTGGCTGACCCGGCAAGAGTGAATATGGACCAAACTGACACATTCAGACAACCAAACTGTTTTATGGCAGATAGGTAAAAGCAGATAATATCCAAGGTTGAAGTAAACCTAACAGTCAATGATTCACAGATGCTTTGTATGAATTTTTTCCAATCACATTAATTATTGTTACTTAAGTTTAAATAATTAGGCCTTCCTCAACAAACATGGCATCATTTATCCAATTTAAGCATCATTTGCAATCCCCCTGGGTGTAGGGACAGTTTGTGACCGCCCTGTGGTGTCCCTGCTCTCATCCAAATCAGATTCAGTTCAGACAGAGAGGCTAACAGCATTAGCCAAGGAGCGAAGTGAAGAAGAGGCCGCTGCATGCTGCCAGACTCGCCCCGCCTTTGTTCATCTGTAACCTTGTTATAGTCTGTAGCTGCAGCTGTAATTGAACAGCCTGCAGCTGAGACTCCTGCAGACGGATGGCTGCCCTTCCCACAGAGGACTCTAATGTCAGCTTTCCCCCTCCCTAGACAAACGCTGTCCGTCATGAGAACTTAATCGAATAAAACCAGCTGCTCCACTGAACATGTCAACCTTTTCCCCGTTAGTTTTCTTTCTTTGTAAAAGTAACTGACTTACAGAGAGTGTTGTTTTGAAGGATTGCTGTGCCAGTATAAGATGGTAGAATAAGGACTGAGGGAAACCTTTTTCATAAACTGTTCGATCCACAGGCTGCAGATGAAGGAGAATATCAATGTGTGGCGGAGAGCGAGGCTGGAAAAGCTGAGAGGACCATTACTCTCAAGGTTCAGAGTAAGTTCAGATCATTTCATTTCACACATTATGCTTTGAATAAGAAATAAGCTACTGTATTATTTCATTGTTTCACTTTATTAAAGATGAAGGTAGCTTCATCTGCAAAATAACTGTACAAAATAAAATAAAGGTAAAGTAACATTCACACCACAAAAATACAGTTGATTATGTATAAGTTTAAAAAGCAAATAAACTAATCTGAACATAATGTGTACCTAAGCTTACATGACACAGCATAACAAGTGGAAACACTAACACCAAGGCAAGGTGAGTTTAGTTTTATGGCACAATTCAGTACAAATACTGAATCTAAGGAGTACACATGAAATAAATGAATTAAACAATAAAATGGAAGTAAAATGAAAGCAGAATAAAAGCAATTAAAGATAAAAACATAATTAAAACAGGTAGTAAATAAAACATATAAAACTAGTAATACCTCAGCTAACAGTTTAACTTTAGAAGGTCACATAAACAAATGGGTTATTACTGTATCTTTGTATGAAAAGAACTCAGGCTTTCAGTACCTTTACAGTCTTCAGTTTGTTCCAGATGAGTGGAACATAAGAACTAAATGCTGCTCCTGGACTAAATCCTACTCTGTACACCCAGAACTAGAACCTGTCAGAGTTCTGTCCTCTATTTAAGTTTATTTTTAGTTCCTTTGTGTTTGTAGTTGTTTTCTAGCAGCGTTTTGTTCTTAAGTTACTCTCTGCCCCCTTGTCTTTGTTTCCTTTCCCCTTGGCTTCCTTCTAGTTGCTTCCGTTCACACCAGTTCCTTGTCAGCTCATTAGTCCAGTCTTTGTTTTGTCTCCTATATATACTCTCCCCGTGCAGTTCCTCAGTGCTGGTTCCTCATCATTTCCTGGCTCCTTATGTTTGTTTTCCCTGATGTCTCTATTCTTGATTCTATTCTTTTTCTGTACTTGTTTTTTTTTTTGGGATTTTTGGATTCCTGCCCCAGTTGCTTGATTAAATCTACAAAACTCACCTCTGCATTTGGGTCCTCAAAACCTCAACCCAACCGTGACAGAACCTGTTCTAATTAAGAATAAAACGCCCAGTTTTAGACGCGACTGTTATTAAAAGCTGCATATTATCAGACATAAGAAGCCCTAGTAACCGCTAATAACAGCCATTTAATTGTTGATCACATCCAGTCACATCAGGGAAGTGGTGGCCTGATGGTTAGGGCATAGAGCTTGGAATCATGAGGTTCTGAGTTCGAGCCCCACTACCACCGTCTGCCACTCTGAGTCGCTGATCAAAATACATTTAACTGCTCCCTGGGCTCCCCACAATGGCAACCCACTGCTCCCCAAGCGGATGGGTTAGATGCAGAGAGTTCATTCAGTTGCTCTCTACTGACAGTGTAATGACAATAAAAGCTGGGAAAAAAAACCAACTAGTGTTAGAATTGTGCTGGTTGTACAAATTTAAATCTCCTTTAAAGTAGAATGCATGCTTTTGTTATATTTAGATTTAAACTCCAAACTCCCGTATTTATCAGCTGTAAGGAGAAAATGTTCTAATATACTATTCCTATAGCCAGTCACTATACCATTGATAGCGACTGGCTAAGGCTATGGGCCAATGAATATCCTTCATTTTCATTTTTCTAGCTTCGTCTTTTTAAATCCTTCAACATAAAACTCTTTCGCTCACTTGCCTTGTGTTTTACTAAGTTTTTAGTCCATGGCACTTTGTCTGACTCACATTTAACTGTTATGTTAGTGTCTTATATAAAAGATAAAGCTACCAAAATGAAAAAGAAGGATAATTTCCTCCATAGCTTTAGATAATACTATTCAAGGGCTTGGAGGGGATTATATTAAAAAGAGTATTTTCTCCTCTGCATCTAGCCATAACACAGATTTGTGTATTTTTTACTTGAAAAGAGATTTTGGATTTGAAACACCTCACCTATTCATATGCGGCTCATGCATCATTCATTTTGAGGAACTTTTAACACATTTAAATAGTTCATGGTGGAGCTTCTGACAAATCAAAGTAATATCTGCACCATTTACATCTTAAGTATTTGCATAAAAAAGTCTGATCAGAATTTGCAGTCTCAAAATGTTGTCATGATTTTTACTTACCGATACACTGAATAAACTGCACACATTTCCATACCTCTTATGGATACAACATTTTTATCTCTGCCAAGGAGATTATGTTTTTAGGGGTGTTTGTGTTTGTCTGTCTGGCTGTCCATGTACAAGATAGCTTGAAAAGTTATGAACAGATTTTAATGACATATTTTACCAGAGGTGCGCCTCATACCAAGGGACAATCTGTTAAATTTTAATGATGATCCAGACCATAATCTGGATACAGAAATTTTTTTTTAAGGATTTTCAAACATTGTGAGATAGTTATTTATGGAGGAAAGAAGCAGTTCCTTTCTAAACCAGAGGATGGCAGCAGTGACTATTGACAGCTTCAGCATCGGACTCCAAAAGTCATGATCCAGACCTGCGACTTTTAGCTTTAGTTGTATGTCACACTATGAGGCAAAATGTGCTGCTTGGCAGAGGTTTGCACTCTCTGGGTGCTTTTATAGTTTTATAAAGAGCTTCTTATAAATTCCTTTTTAATTAATTGACTGTAAACTGTAACTGTACTAAAATTGAATCTTGTCTGATTATACTTAGAATGATGTAATCACTGAATATAATATAAAAATCTGATATTTCAGTTCCTAAATAGAAGCTGAACAGCAGACGTATTAAAGGCATCATATGCCTAAACAAACAAACCAATAAATACATTTTCTAGTAAAAACAGTTTATATACACCAAGCATTGTCTTGATAGTGCTTAGATAGATCATTTTCAGTCTAAATATAATTCCAGCACCAGGCATGATGATAAGGCCGAAGTTTATATCCAGAAATATTTCTTAATTTTGGTCAATATGATATAAACAATATAAAGGCATCTGAAAAAACTGCAAAGAAAGCCCAACAATAGATACAATTATGTAATTTCTGAATGTTATTATGCCAAAACCACGAAACTTCTCTAATACAAAATTTTTTTAATTATTTTAATTTCAAATCAAATAAATCTTCAGCTATTTTCTAGCCTTAAGCTCAACAGATGCAATGCACATTTAATCAGATGATTATCTGGCCTTCCTCACGTTCCTCAATCCATGGCTTCTTTCAGTTTATTTGTCTTTATCTCCTTTATTTGTTTACAAATCACTATAATTAATTAACAAAACAACTAATAACTGATCACTAGCTCTGAAAATACAGACTGAATACAACCCATTTTTACAAAAATGTCACTTTTGATAAGCCTTGACAGTTCAGGCAGCAGCTTACAATAAGATGTTTTTTTTCTATCCTCCTATAAATGTTTCTTGCTCCGTCACACTGGATTCTGGACTTTACCTTGCTGTTTTCATAACTCCTCTTAAAGGTGCTAACTGGCTTAGTCCCATTACTTTCTTGTTTACCCTTTATCATATACAGTGCTGCATTACACAGTAAATTTGTTGTTGTTAATATACACAAATGGCTTTATTTCCTAACAAATACAGAAAAAAAAACACAAAAAAAAAAACTATTAATATGGCAGCAGGGTGTGGTACTCTTTCAGAAACAAAAAAAACATTTTATGCAACCAGAGTGAGCTAGTGGCATACATTATTGTTAATGATGCATCCCTATAAATATGATAAACGGTAAAAGCTCCTTTCCACATATTTGTTGGTAGAAACTAACTGATTTGTGTTGTATTTGTTGTCTCTCCCTCTCTAATGTAGTAAATGGAGGATACTCCAGCTGGGGGGAGTGGGGTCCATGCAGCAGCTCATGTGGCCAAGGTGTTCAAGAGCGGATCAGATTATGCAACAATCCAGCACCAGCTAATGGTGGCCGCCTCTGCAGCGGACCGAGCACCGATTCTAGGAAATGTCAGACTGGTTTGTGTCCAGGTAGTGTTGACAGTACTGTTTTTATTTCTAACATAAAAATGTATTTTAAAGTGGAAAAACTGATAAAAACGAAAAAACAAATCATATTAATCTTGTTTTTTATGCTTACAGGTGAGGTTCCACGCAAGACTAGAGGCAGTCTGATAGGGATGGTGAATGACAGAGAGTTTGGTGTGTCCTTCCTGGAGGCCAACATCACAGACAACGAGGAACAAGGCACCAGCACTCTGGAGGCACGCCTTGACAACATCCCTCCCACAGTGGGTTAGTCACGCTTCATAATGTACCAGACTTTCATATTTTCAAAGGCTCTGTTCCAGCAGATCACTCTTTTCATTCGACCTTTTGTGTTTTTCTATGTTGGGATTTAGAAACCTTTTGTCCTAATTCCTGATGATTAATATGTTCTGATGGAAACAGGCTCTATTAGGACAGAATAAAGCATTTTAGGCTTTTGTCTGTTTTTCATACAGACATGCTGTTCTTACTAGTAATTATTAAACACTTAGAAAAATATATGAAGCATGAGAAAACACATCCATAATTTCTTTGTTAGATGAAAAGGGAAAAACATGTTTTGAATGCTGCCCTAATTTTTTTAAAGGTATAGTGGAGAATGTTCTTTTTCTGGTTGGATAATCAAAACAAGTCATCCTCCTAATTGTCAATCATTCTGGTGATATGTTTATGTAAGGCCGTCCTATGTGCTCTTGGCCATTTTCACTTACCGGTGCTGAATGTGACATAGTGGAACAATTGCAAATCTTCTTTTGAAAAGCTTGCATGGGTGATGCAAGCAGCAACTTTTAAACAGAGCATGCACGAGGAAAAATGGTTCTTGTGCACGCTCTCACACGTGTTTACTAGGCGTTCCTTCTCGTGAGTGGGTACAGGGTTGTTCATGTGCATTTTTTTTAAAGTGCAGAGGGCAGTTCTTTTCAAATAATCAGAAGATCCTCCACTATACCTTTGAACCTTGCTGTTTCTCTGTGGTCCAGTAACAGATAAAGGATAAATGTTTTTTTATAGGCCCCTTTCTGCAGGTTCTGGTGCCTGTTTTCACTCCCATCTATTGGACCACTGTGCTTCAAAACGGAGCCACCAGAAATGGGTTCTCCTTTACGCAGGGTCACTTCAGACAGGAGTCTCAGTTGGAGTTTGAAACTGGTAAGCTTTGGCTCCAATCAGACGTTCACATGTTTAACATTTTTTTTTTGAATTATTGAAATATTAAAATAACATTAATAATATAAAAAAAAGAATGTTAATTGAATGAATGTTGAATGTTAGAACTTTAACTATACAGTCTTATGTTTACATTACTGTTTTCCATCACAATGTTTTTTGTTTTTTTTTATCACTGCTGCTTACCTTATCAAGGCTGCACTTTAATAAATGAAATAGTCTAGAGAGCTGTTCTAAACAAAATTTCTTCTTGTTTACAATTGTGTAAACAAACTAGGTCTATATGTTTGATAGAAAAGGTCATCAGAACTTTATAAGAGGTTGGTATGTTTTAGATACAGGATACCATGACTATTTTACAATTCATTTTTTAATCATTAGTTGCTAAAATAAACAGATTGATAAAGTTCTGTTTTACCTAATGATCACTGGTTTGGTTTTTGTTTTAAACATTCTTTTCACTTTTCCTTCAACTATTTGAGATCATTCAGCATTTATATTACTGTTCTTTAAAAAGACAATCAGCATTTCCAAAACAATTATTTTATGGCAGTGATTTCAGTGTTTATTAAATCACATTTTTATTGAAATATATTATAACATAATTACCACGTTGCCGCATAAAAACGGAAAAATAACATTTCCTGCTCTTTACTCTTCATTTGTAAAAGCAGCCAGCAGATGGCAGCACTCACTACCTTGAACAATCTCCAAGCTTGTTTGAGAAGCATTATTTTATTTGATCCTCACAGGAGAGATCCTCCGTCTGACCCACGTCGCCAGAGGATTGGACGCTGAGGGAGTTCTGCTGATTGACATTGTAATCAATGGCTTCGTTCCACCGTCGTTATCGTCATCCCATCTGGGCCTTCAGGTATGCTCGTTAAAGTGATTACGTGTATCCAAAGAACTCAATTATAGGATCATGAGTTTCCTTTACATCACTCCGCTAAATTGGATCTCTTCATACTTCCGGTCTGGCCTGATTTCACCTTCCTCTCACAGGACTTTGATGAGTCATATGTGCAGACGGGCCAAGGACAGCTGTATTCATGGTCATCACAGACCCACCAGAGAGGAGGCAGTCCCATGGTGCTGCGCTGTAATCACACCATCGTTTACGAGGGCCAGGAGGAGCGCCAAGGCCCCGTTCTTCAGCTGCTCAAGGTTTCCGGAATAAACAGTGCCTATAACATGTTTACTCTCAGTTTGGACTTCCATATCACTACAAGCCTCCTCGTACCAGGTCTGGAAAATAAAATCGAATACGTTCACCTCTGAAATGTCCTATATCCTATGAATTAGTGGATTTTAGATGTTGAAAAGGTTAACTGATGTTTGATTTGTTTTGGTAGATGGTTATGAAGACACATGTCCTAAAGGCTTTAATATAGACACAGCCTCCTACTGTGCTGGTATGCCTTTTTTCCTTATTTATGTTTAATTCTTGCAACATTTATATGTGTCTTTATCTCGATTATTCAGCACTAATAATGTAACAAACTGACTCCATTTTAGATGAAGACGAGTGTGCGCTGCAGTCTCCCTGCTCACATACATGCAACAATATCATGGGAGGGTTTACCTGTGCCTGTCCATCTGGCTTTACTATCTCTACAGAGAGCAACACATGCAATGGTGAGACACTCAATAAGCCACAGGCTGATTCATTGTTTAAATTCTTTACTTGTCTCTTACCATTATGTTGTTTTTTTTTTTTGATAAATCCCACCCAGATATTGATGAATGCTCCCAAGGCTCCCACATGTGCCACTACAACCAGCAGTGCGTCAACACTGTGGGGACATACCGCTGTCAGGCCAGATGTGGACCGGGATTTAAGCCCAGCATCACAGGAACCAGCTGTGAAGGTCTTAAAGCTATCCATTTATTAATTTGTATTTTTTATGTAGCCTTACTTAATTAAGAAGATAAAGATATACAAAAAATACATTCTGGACATTTTCTGGTCTACCATACCAGGCAGACACAAAACTAAAAACAAGATATATATAAAACCAAATGGATGACATATAAAACATAATTACAGAGGTTGGCATGTATAAAAGAGACAATTGTAAAATTGGAACAAATGAGGTTTGTGCTTGTGGGACAAGGAGACTTATAAGGATGCTGGAGGATATACTGTTTTAATGATGGGGGCTATTAGCTATACTATGAGCCTTTTAGAAATGAAGAAATACCAGCAGATTTGCCTATAGAGTATAGAGAAATAGGACGACTCAACAAGGAGTAGAGGTGGCAGTGGTGAGTTAAATAAAGCCCCACTAGCACTGCTAAAAAAAAAAAAAAACTTTGTTTAAGCTCATTGTATGTTAGTGACTTAAAGCTCTTTTCTCATTTTTAAAATCAAAAAATGTTTTTTTTTAATCTTTTATATTTAATTTCAGGTCTGATACACATCTAGTTTTTCTATGGATGTCTTATAGGTTTGTTAGAGGACATAATATATTGTAAACCACCAGCATCATAAAGATTATGGTAAACAGCAGACAGGTCATACTGTATATATAGTTCTAGACGGGTTTAATGAATGTATTAAAACAATAAGGTATTAAAACAATAACCTGAGCAGACATTCACAGCTAAAGAGGATATCCGATCCTTAAGGAAGAAAAAAAAATGCCTGAAGAAGACCACTTTTAATATTGGGGAAATGGATGGTAAACAGTTGTGGAAGAAAGCTTAAAACAAAGTTAATACAGTGGTGTAAGTTCAGCTTTTAGCAAGACAACAGGCCTGAACACACAAGTGTTTTTGGGTTTTTTTAACAAAAAAATCCCTGCAAAAATATCAGTGATATTTTCATATGCCCTAGAAATTGCTGAAAATTAAGAGAGGAAAAAAAAAAACAAACAGAAAATGTTGGAGGGGTGGCATGCAAAACCTTTTGGACTTTTATTTGTTGAAAATAATTGGACAACCGCATATTTTCCTTTCATTTAACAGCTTTTCTCTCATTTTTACTGGTCAAATAAGCTCTTAACCCTTTATAGGGCAAGTTACTGTTTTTGATCACTTAAATACTCCTTACAAATGGATTCCCCATCCATCCCTCAGTGAGGTTTAGAAGCACAAGATCTACATCCAGCCATGCAGCAGATACTGCTGCATGGCTGTACACCTTATTTTGGCATTTGACCAATTATATGAACCCTTGAATAATTTATTAACTACTGTAAATTAAGTTGAAAAAATTGTCAAGAGAAAAGGTAAAAAGCTAATTGAAAAGTAAAAAAGTTAATAAGCCTAGTTAACAATTATATATAGGTTTATAAACTTAAAAATGTAAGTGCCAGTATCAGCATTAATGCCTCTAAGGTTATGTTGTACCAAAAAAAAAATTGTTTCTTTTACTCTCAGTTTTCTTTTTCATGAATTACATGTTGAAGCACTTTTGTTATTTACTTTTGCCATCAGAATATCCATATTTTTTCATTTACAAATATGCGTTTGAGTTAAAAAGGTAATAAGGTCTTGTCTTGGAGTCCAATACCACTATTACACTTCAAAAAATGGAAATCTAATGAAGTAGAAGTAAAAAAAAAATATAAGTAAAATAAGTGCTTTTTTGCTCTAATTGAGGACGAAAAGTGAGCCACTTTGCCAATGGAAAAAGACAATTTACATTTAAAATGAGAAAAAACAATTGCATTGTCTTATTTCAAGTTCATATTATCTAATTATCTTATTTTAAGAGAAAAGATACTAATTTCATTGGCAAACCATCATATTTACCTACTCAAATTAAGGGTAAATAAACTTAATTTAAGACAGTTTTATTTATTTATAGATCGTTTTTGCAGTGTAGCTTGAAATTTTGATTTTAATTTTGAGTGTAAAGGGTTTATATCTAGATCTAGAGTTTTAACCAGACAAATGTGAAATAATTCAGTTTGCATAAATACTGTTAGAAGGCACTGTATATATGGACAAAGACCAATGAAACCTGTCATGACAAATGTATGTTTCAGACGTTGATGAATGTCAGGAGTCTGCTATCTCCCCATGCCACCATAAGTGCCTCAACATTCTGGGTTCCTACCGTTGCATCTGTCATCCTGGATACCAGCTGTCAGGACATCGCTGCATTGGTCAGTCAGTTCACTCTTTTTTTCTTTTGATGTTGCATTTAAAAGTACTTGCTTTTGGTTTGAAAACAAAGATAAATTAGTTTTCTTTTCACATCAGCATACTGTACACAGAAGCCTCATTTTTTGCCTCATCAAACTGGGCCTCATCAATGACTGCAATCTGCCAGTCAAGGAGAGGAACTGAACTGACTTAAAATTTGCCACAGTTAAACATAGATGTTTTTTTTTCTAATGCTAAATGTAGTTTTGGTTTGGTAGTGGGAACTGATTCGCACAACTAAAGAACTAAGATGACCCAGGGATGCAAACGCCGTGCAAATACATGATTTCAAAACATCCTGCAAACACAAAAATTAGACTAGCAAAAACAAAAGAGCAAACACAAAGACAAAAACTACAAAGAGGATAAATGCTGCATTCATATGAAGTACATAAATGATAAAACACGAAACATATGCAAATGAAAAATACTGCAAGTAGCACAAACATCAACTCATTTGTGACCCTGAGTAAAATCATAACAGGATGCTCAGTGGTCTCAGACAGCGGTAAAGTGACGCTCCAGGTAACGTAATTCATCCACTGCTGAATTCAACACTGTTAAGTTACACACAGTAGGTTAGTTTTTGAGAAGAGCATCCCAAGGAGCATCAATACATGCTATGAGCTGACTATTGACTTGAAAAATCCTTTAATGTCTAACTAAGCTAAAACTTGGGTCAATAGTTGCACAAGTTTCTTCCATCTGCCCTAACCCCTAAATCCCCCAATCACTAAATAGAGAAGAGACTATATAGTGAACTCAGTAAACTGAGCGTTCAGACAGATGATTACTACGTTTTGCTCCCCATTGGTCACGCAACTCCGCCTCCCTGCATGGTTTGTCACAGCTGTCACCATACTGTAGCTGTCACTACTTGACAGCGAGCTGCTGTCACAACAAATCCCATGATGCTTTGCAAGGAGAGCATTCCAGTATATTTCTGCTCATTTAGTGACCATGATCACTACTTTTCACGGTGCATTGTGGGAAATTTCGAGTCCACTACTTTTTCATCCACTAGACGTTAGGACACTATTATATGACACCAATTAGGGCGGACATTCGTACACAGCCAGCATGTCTTTACTAAGGGCCTGGTCCCTTATTAGTTGATGATTGTCTCCCCCTATTGGTCTGGGGCACCAATGTTAGGCTGAGCTAGTTTGCAGCTAATGTTAACTTGCTATTGGTCTTGCTACTTGCAGCATTTTTTTATTTGCATGACTGTTTTTTTGCACTTGTGTGCTAGTCTAATTTTTTGCAGGACATTTTTGAATTTGCTGTAAAAGCAAGTATATTTGCACAGTGTGTTCACCATTCGGCCACCTTAGCAAATGTGTGTTGCTTACAAACAATGGAGAAAAAAAGCTGGGATGCAGCCTTTGTTTAATCTTGATTAAACAAACTATACATCATTATAAAGTAGATATCAAAAATGCAACTGTATTACTTAGCAATAAATAAAAGGCAAAAACTAAAAAAAAAGTCACATTTTTTAGACTGAATTGCAGCATATCGTGGAGGGATAAAAAAAAAAAAAAAATGGAGCGATTTAAAATTTACCGAAAAGGTTATGTTGGCAGAAATGTTGTCATATACAGTAAAGTGTTTAAGTTGCGGCATGAAGAATTGAGCTTTCTGAATAGAATATTTTACAAAGAGAATAAATGTGTGCATCAGGAATTTACATAATTAAGTTAAAACATTATAATGTTTTCTGTATACATGGAAATACATTTTTTCTACATAAAAGTCAACAAGGAGAGTAATTATTAAACCCACTAATAGGCTCACTGGAAGATAGATACATTTTCCAAACTATTAATATGACCTTAATGAAAGATGCACCGTTCAAATCAAACATGGAGTAGTTGAACAAATGTTACTGTTTGGTAAATGTACGGTTGCCATGGTGAGTTTTGATCCCACTCCTGTCCGGCAGTCACAGTTTTTCAATGTTGGATCCCGAGTGTTTTAGTTTTTTAGAAAAATAAACCTACTAACCCAGTCTGTTAGTGTTAAACTCCAGGTGCGTCAAGTCTCCTGCTTTACACCTCTGCTATAATGACATGATTTAAACAGTTGAGAGGAAATGTTTCCACTTTTCCAGACATCAATGAGTGCATGAGAAACGTGTGCCCAGCACATCAGCAGTGCCGCAACACCGACGGAGGATATCAGTGTTTTGACAGCTGCCCTGCGGGAATGACCACAGCAGAAAACGGGGCCTGTGTAGGTCAGTGACCGTCACACTTACAAGTCACAAGGGATGTATCCATCATGAATTTCACATTACAATACCAAGCTGAGTCATTTAAGAAAATAAGTGCCTCTTACATGCTGAAAAAACATGATAATTTAAGGTGTTGTAAAAAAACTGCCTCTTCTATTACACTTAGAAATCACATTCTGAACCCTGAAGTATCAGGATTTTTTTTTTATCGAAACCACAGGTCCTACATACAAAATAGCACATTTTCATACAATATGGCATTTCCCCTCTACTGGAAACTCAAGTTAAGATCTTCAAACATAAACATTTCAAGACACATATTTAGAACCTGCTTTTTTTTTTACTGAAGAACATTTAATACAGATAAAAAGTTTACCAGAAGGCTGGATCACTATGAGATCAGATGAAGTAGTGGCTCTTGTTCAAACTTCCTTTTTGGATCAGTCTTGCCTAGATTTAACAGGAAAATACCTCAGAATCAGGTCTCTAAATGGTATAGAACCAAAGTATAGAACCAGCTTCAGGTGTTTGTACTACACCTATTGCAAAAGCTCAAAATAAGGCCATCAACACATTCAAGAAGTAAAGAGAGTACGTTCATGTCTTTTTCACAAATACATGGTAGAGTCTGACATTGCTAAGGTCCATCTATAACACGCAACAACCGGTGGAATTTAAAAGGAATGTTTGAGTTATGTAGACTGTCTGTCCCTCAGGAGATCTAAAAATTATTTTCCAGAATAGATCCTCAAAACAACCGCAGTGTTTATTACCGAGATTTCATAGTTCCAGCAGCAGAAGAGACAGGAAAGAAAACAACTTTTTTGTTTATATATAATTACAGTTTAACTGTTTCTAAAAATGTTAGTTTTGAACACGAAATAGAATTAAAAGAAGAGAAAAGTTTAAACGGAATTTCTTTAAAATCTTAAAGAACTGTTTGTCACCTGTTTGTTTTGTTTTTTTAGATATTGATGAGTGCCAGGATGGAAGTCACATGTGTCGCTACAGTCAGATCTGTCAGAACACCGTCGGAGGATACGGGTGCATTTGTCCCAGAGGTTACAGATCCCAGGGAGTTGGGCTTCCGTGTCTGGGTAGGTTTTTCTGTTTGTATTTTTGACACAAACCTTCCTTTACAAAGGATCTGATGTAAAATCAAAATTTTTCTTTTATCTTTAGACATTGATGAATGTTCGCAAACACCAAATCCTTGCGCGCACCAGTGTCGTAACGTACCCGGCAGCTTCCGGTGTCTGTGCCCCCCTGGGACTCTGCTGCTGGGGGACGGACGCTCCTGTGCAGGGCTGGAGCGGGGCCAAATCTTCACTAACGGCACCAGAGTCAGGGCCAGACTCCACCCTCAGCTGGTGTCATCCCTCGGTAGACCGATCTTCTCCCGCTCCAGCGGAGTATCTCGCATTACCAGGCAGAGCTGTCCTGTGGGCTACACCAGCAGAGATGGTACATGTGTAGGTGGGTTGGAGCAAACACTTGATTTCAGGAAGCATCGAGCAGCTTTAAAATGTATTCTCAACACTTTTGTATCATTTTCTGCAGACGTTGATGAATGTTTGTTAAAGAAGCCCTGCCAACATGAGTGTAGAAATACCATTGGCAGCTTCCAGTGTCTGTGTCCTCCAGGATACAAACTTCTGCCCAACGGTAGAAGCTGTAAAGGTTAGCGCTTCCTGAATCACACTGCTTGATCCATCCTTTAGCCCCTTTTTGAATAACAGATAACTTGTATCTCCTCTCTTCAATAGACATTGACGAGTGTGTTGAACAAGGAATTCAGTGTGGACACAGTCAGATGTGCTTTAATACCAGAGGGGGATACCAGTGTCTGGATACACCCTGCCCTGCTTCCTACCAAAGAGGAGGACGTCCCGGGTAAAAATAACTTCTACTCAATTATAAGAAAAAGTACTCCACAGATATACTAAAGTTTAACACTAGAAGACATCTGTTTTGTTGTTGTTGTGTTTAGAAACTGTTACCGCTTCAATGTATTAAAATATATCCAAAAAACAATTGATGAATGTCACCTTTGCCAGTATTACAAAGCACTATATGAAAGCTGAAGTCAGAATTAAGCGCTTTAGTGGTCATAACATTGAAATTTGGATCCATGACCAGAAAACTCCCTGGATGTTATTCCCTTTGAGAAGAAATTGACAGTTGACATAAACTTGATCCATTTCCCTATAAAAGCCCTTAAAACTGCTTGAAATGTTTATTATTGAACATTAAATCATCCCAGAAACATCTGCTAAAGAGCTCCAACAGCATTAAAGCTCTAAGTCTGGTGTCAAGTGTTTTCCTCAGTTTAAACCTTTTGGCCTTATCTTTACAAACACATTACATCTCTCCTCTTTCTTAATTGCTTTTGAAGGACCTGTTTTAGGCCCTGCTCTCTGGACTGCGCCACAGGAGGCTCTCCTCTGCTCCTGCAGTACAAGCTGCTCACTCTTCCCTCTGGCATACCGCCCAATCACAACGTGGTACGACTCTCTGCGTTTTCCGAGTCTGGCATCCTACAAGAGCGTACCTCCTTCTCCATACTTGAGCAAGTATCGGTTACGGGCGTGACGGGACGAGTGTTTGACATCAAAGACGAGGCGGGCCGGGGGATCATCTTCACTCGGCGGGTTCTGGATAGACCCGGGCTAGTGAGGCTCAAGGTGCAGGCCACCACCATCTCAGAACAAGGTCGCATAACGTACCAGAGCATCTTCATCATCTACATCTCCATCTCAGCGTACCCCTATTAAACCCAAAGGTTTATTTACAGATGACTCTGTCCTGCCACCAAAAATCAGATCATGTAAAGAATCTCTGACTCAGTTTTTCTAAACCGGAGGAGGATTTGACTTCAGAGACTGTGGTGAAGATGTCTGGTATACGTATGGCCTTAATGGGAAAGAAGCGAGAGACTCTCCTATACAAACCAAATGGAAAAACATACCTGTAACATAATTTAATCTCCATTTACAATCTGGATGATTTTTTTTTCCTCCAGAATTTTCTGTCAATCCATTGTTTTAATTACTTGATGATTGTGTTTTATGTCCATCCAGGTTGGTACAGAGATATTTCCACAGCTATGGCATTGTTTAATGCCCTAACCTCCCCCTTCCCCTATATTATTTATTAAAGTCATTTGAAAAGATAACTGCTTCGAACAAATCTTGGCAACATGGGGTTTGAGTTGTCATAGATCCACTGGTTTACCGGCACATTCTTTTGTTCTTTTTTTACACTCCTTTTTTTTCAGATTTTCCCTAACAGAAGTTGATATTTTGAATGTTACTGAGGTATTTTGAGTTTGTGTGATTGGTGTAAATGATAAAAAAGGCAGTTTAAAAACAAAAACAAATTATAAGATAATCCACACTACATTTAACTAATCTGGGGCCAGAAATGAACAAGAGAACTCACCTGAATTAACATTGATTGTTAATGGATTTATCTACAAATTAAAGGCCTCTGTTGCTGTAATTGCTTTGAATAGCTGTACAGATAAATGTTTTCTTTTCTACGGTACATTAATGTACCAAAATGATCCCTGTTTATCTCGGTTTCCGCAAATTTATTTCTCGGTTTTATCAGGTTGGACCTTCTTATGCCTTCAGAAAGCCATAAATTCATCAAAGTGCCGAAACATTCCTTTGAGATTTGTCTACACTGTAAATGAAAGTGTTTTTCCAGTAACAGCTGAAACCAAGATAAATGCTTGCAATAAAGGGAATTAACAGGTCTTGAAGGGTTTCTCTCTGCACTGCTTTTCTAGCCGGTTTTGAAACACATCATTACTGAGATCCTAATATCATGGCAGCCCTACTGTCTATCAGCTCGAACCAGCTGGATCCCTCCACTTTGACATCAACAAGGTTTTTCTGTTATGCACACAAACTGTTGCTCAGTGAACATTATCAGGACATTCCCAGCAATAAACAGTAATGTGTCAAAATCTAAGTGGCTGTTCCAGAAAATATCAAACCAGCCCGTTTGGCAGTAGCAACCATGTTCAAAGTAACGTAAATCTCCCTTTTTCCACAATCTGAGGCTCTGAAATTCAGTAAGTTTTCCTGCTCATGTTAAGAAGCATAAATGCATTGAATTGTATATATATATATATATATATTTTATAATTTAATTGGTGTATCTCATAAAGTTACCAGTAAAAAGTTAAGCCATAGCTTTAGAAAACTTATTATTTCTTCCCCTCACCTTATCCCATAATTTGATGTTTCTGCCAAAGCTCAGCCTAAATAAAAACTTATGTGGGATAAAATATGTTTTATTAAAAGAGCCTTTATCTTTACTGTTAATCATCTCTTTTCTTGAAAAAATAAAAGAAAACAACAAAGCCGCAGTCTGTCAAGAATCAAACTGTGGGTTTACTGTGAGGCAGAGCCGGTATCTACCCCCAGAAGAGCTTTACTACTCCATTGACATATTGATGCCACAAATCACAGGCGTTTACTGCAGGGATGGGGGTCTCTATTTGACTTCTACCTAGAAGCATGTTGGGAAAAATCTGCAACTTTAACCACTTAAAAGTGTTAAAGTTGCAGAAATAATGACTTTTCGTACCTTAAAATCAAGCTGGTTGACTCTCTTCCCGTCGAGGGCATAAGAAAAAATGTTCTGACTTTTACCTGGTTATAGAAGTTATATAAATCAAACCATATGTGTACAAAAACGCATAAATTCCACACTGTCATTTTGTATTAAGCAAAAACTGAAGCCACAGTGGAAAATATCAATATGAAAAACTAAATCCACCCCTTTCTGCTTCCTTAGGACTTAAGTTGGAAAGTAGCAGCTTGGCAGGTGTTGCAGCAAATTCACCGCAAGGTCAGACAAAGCAATACTCACAGAAAGTGCAAAACCGCAAGAACCTCATGTTAGACTCCACAGAGGTCAGCTGGCATTTTTCATAACGTTTCTGACAATGAGGGAAACAGAAATACATCATCATAATTTGTTGGAAGGGTTACAAGATGATGGGCAGAACACAAGCTGCATTTGAGTAAAACACCAAACTTCTAAAACAATAGATGTGGACAGATGAGACCAATGTAGAAAAGTTGGGTCAAAATGAATAGCTATATGTCTGGAAAAACCATGAAAAGTGTATCATTAGAATAACAGCGGCATACCGACTGTCAAGCACGGTGGTGGTGCCGTGGTGATTGATGACATATTTGGCCACACGAACTGGGATTTTCCAGTTGCTGAGTTGACCCTTTACTTCTCTGTTTACTGTATCAAGGTATTCCAAATCAGACCTTGTGCCATCTTTCTAAAAGCATCAGCAAATTTACAAAAGGTCATCTGAAAACAAACCAAAAAAAAAATCTAGGTATTGCAGCAATAACCCAGTTCAAGTTCAAGTTGTACAGTGCCTAGTTTAAAAGTGTTGACTTTGAGGATTAATGATATGTTCATGGGTGTCTGTAAATGTTATTAAACTTTTAAATTACAACCTAGTATTGACCACAACATTTTTCTTTTATAATGATTCATGAAACCCTAAACAGACATTAAACTGTCATTGTTAATGTTTGGTTGGACCAAAATGCCAACAGAACAGAAGTAGGATGGAATAAAAGATGTTTGATTATGAAGACAAACCTACAGAGATTGTAAAAAAAGGGGGACAGTATATCAACCCTGGGTGAGGGTTACTGAGTAAACCAGCACTGTTTACCTGGAAACTAAGAAGCCTAAACACTGAGGACGGGATGGAGAGAACAGCTGTAGGAATGAAGCAGGGAAAAGCAAAGGGGGGCTAATAAACAGAAAGAACATTAAATATGGTCATTAAAAACAAAAACAGATTCATGAATCAAAAAAGGAAACGTCTCAATCTGATGTCAGCAAATACACTAGAAATACAATAAAAAGAAATATTGAGATCCAAATAACAAAAAATAAAAACATGGCAGAAGATTATATAACCAAGATGTTGCAAGAATCATGATTACATGATTGGGTTTGACTTACATAGAACAAACCAAAAGTTTTCTAAACAATGAGCTGAGCAGCCATGAGATATAAACTGAGAATTTCTGCGTGAGCGTGAAAAGACTTTCAGAGCACCGGGGTGCTATGCCAACAAAAAACAAAAAAACTATAAAACAAAACCCAACAACAAAAAACAACAAAGGTCAGAACTTTTTCCATGTCAAAACAAAATAGACAAACTAAAACTAAAGTAAAGAAAAAAACTTTAACAAAGGGAAACACTTCTGTATTTATTTTGAAATTAAAGAAAAAAATTTAATTTCTTTTTAAATCGATTGAATTTGGATAAACTCAACTTAAACCTTGAAGCCAGATTTTTAAATAAAACAATTTTTTCTGTCAAAATTATGCCCACAAAAGGCATAACAAAAGAACAAAATAAAGAACAACGATAAAGAAAGAGATAAAGAACATAGAATAACGTCCAAAAAGTTTTCAGTTTGCATATATTGATAATTACTTACGGTACATGTTATTTATAAATTCTATTATTATATGTACTCCAGATCATATTGAACTGAACCATAAAATATATTTAAATTATATTTAAATATACCATAGAGTAATTTGAACGTAGATTCAAATGGCACAAAGATTTTGTATAATTTTCAGATTAATATAGATTTACCATTCCAGAAAAATATAAATACATCTATAAGGATTATTTCTATTCTTAATACGACTGATATAAGATATAAAAGGAGCTTGGGATGGGTTCTCAATTTAGATCCCTCCAGAACCATACTGTAAAAAAGAGGAACAAAAACACTTCTTAAGAAAACAGCTGATTGGTAATGTGTATAAGCGCTGTGGAGGAAAAGATAAACTGCCTAATTCATACATTCCAAATCTAAAAAAACAGTTTCCCTTGGAAAAAAGTAATAAAGGCCATTTTTTCAACCACAAGAAGACTTTAGGAAAAAGGTTTCTGTAACAAAAGAAAACATTTTTTTTAACCTCTCAATACCCACCACGTTCTAAAGCGTTTAAAAATAATAATACACTGGTGAAAAGTTTACCAATGCAGACATGTTAGACATCATTGGAAAGCTTAGATTCTCCACAATTCAACCATCTAGTGCATTTTATGGACACACAAAGCACCAAAGCACAATTAACACAGATATAGCAGCATGTCAAAATGTACCATGACAAAGCAGCCACAACATGCAAGCATGTTTTTATTACTGCTGTTCAAAAAAAGACCTTTTATTTTCCAGAATAAAAAACAAAAACTTTGCAAACTTTTCATGTTTGAACTGATGCAGCTTGGGCTTAGTTGCAGCTTGGGTATTTTACTCACCCAATTTTCATGTATATATTCAGAAACTAGAAGGTGTTAGCTTTCAAATAACATATCACACATGTAATTTGAGCTTACGGTTCCTCAGTTATTTGCTTTTCCATTTGCAAAATAGGCGAGAATTTCCCAAAATGAGGTGGATATTAAGAGGTTATAATAATTCCTTTAAACTTCAGATTTACAGAATTTAAGACACTCATAATTTAAAGTTAACTCAGATTTTAAACAGCCTATCTGAGATGAGGTGTTATAATTTGGTTCTTTATGAATAAAATACACAGAATTTTCATCCACACTTATCCAAAGCGGTGCTGGTGCCTATCTCCAGCTGTCAATGGTTGAGAGGTGGGGTACACCCTGGACAGGTCCCCAGTCCATCGCAAACAGGACAAAAAACTATTCATGCACACACTCACACTTAAGGAGAATTTATAGAAGCCAATTAACCTAAAAGTAATGTTTTTGGACTGTGGAAGCAAGCTGGAGTACCCAGAGAAAACCCACACATGCTCAGGGAGAACATGCAAACTCCATGCAGAAAGACCTCAGGCTGGGAATCAAACCCAGAACCTTCTTGCTGCAAGGAAGCAGTGCTACCCACTTCCCCACTGAGCAGCTTCTATGAATTTCTCAAATATCAAAATAGTATTGTTAAAACAAGAGAGATTTTGACATAAATTCAATCAGGATTTTGGTTACTTTATGAATCTATTGAAGGCATCTTAGAGGGCCTGGAAGAAAGCTGTAAATTGTGTTAAGTCTGAAATATTGATACACCATATGGCAACATTCCCATGTTCTTTATTTCAAAAGCAGAAACAAAGACGTAGTGCACAGTACTGAAAACAAAGAATCTTTCAGATTAAAATTGGGGACCAGGGAGTCAGATCTGTCTGTGGGTGTTGTTTATTTTGCAGACAGGAAATCTCCAGTGAGGTCATTGCTTTGGGTAGTACCTCAGTCGCTCAGTAGATGGAGCAGGACTCAGTTTTTTTTTATCCTCAGGAGTTTGAAGCATTTCTCTTCCACTCTGCATGACTGAGCATTGTTGGTATCTCAGATGCCGCTAATTTGATATCGTCATCTTCTGATTGTAATAACTGACTTCAGAAAAAAAGCCAAAATAAAATAAACCATATGAAAAGGAAGCCTTATCCGTGTCCTTGTATTTTTAGAAGCAGATGATGAAAATGGAGAACTTCTACAACTTGGCGTATTTTAAACAGAGGACTGGTTTTACCTCATCTCCAACTCATTAGAAGGGGAGGAGGTCAAAGAAAGGTCTGTGCTGGGGTAGTGCTGACACTGCAGTGTGTGTGGGAGTGTATTTATGTGTGCAGGAGGTTACTTTGCTTTTTTAAATTATGCAAAAAGCATGAGCTTTAAATCAAAGTTAGAAATTACTGTTTATTTGAAAGGTAGATTAATGCACAGTGATAACAATGAAGAAGAGGAACACTTCTTTTTAAGTCAAATCAAGGGATTTAAGTCTGATCTTAAGTTAACTGTCTGCTAAATCAGATTTTTTAAATGTTTTTTTTCATAAACTAATAAAATAATAACAGAATAGTGAGCAAATAAAGGATTTACAAACCCTAATTAGCGTGAATATTCATCTTTTGCTTTAAAGGGTTTCATTTCAATTTCAGTTTAGTTTATTTCTATAGCACCAATTAACAACACATGTCATCTCAAGGCACTTTATAGTTCAACCAGATCATACAGTGAAATTGATTCAAAGTTTTCTATCAAAGGAAAACCAGTTGATTTTTTCGACTCATAAGCTCGAA